TTTTTTTTTTTTTTTTTCTTTTCCTTTGGCACAATCACTTGTCAGGCCACCTCGGAAACCTCATCCACCTTATTTCACCAATTACCAGCAAGCAAGTCTTCCATCCTAAACTGCATCTTATTGCTCTATACCTTCAATGACTTGGGATTCATGATTTTCACTTACCTGAGTGAGCGGCACGAGTTACGGCTCCCAAGAATTATGCTGAGTCAACGGACAATCTAGTAGTCATCCCCTTACCGTTCAATAAAACCAGCAGCACCGATATCGGCCATTTCTCCAGCTGCTGTGGGATGCGTTTCACAAAATTTATAGCATCAGACAGCTTAAAGGTAGCCAAACGCTGAATATAGAGTAGCGGGAGATCCCCAGGCATAGAGTAGTATCAGGAATGAGGGTACAGAAGCCCGGTGTCCGCTCGATCCCGAAGTTGAGAACCTCGTCCGCGACCTTTTATCTCAGGGTGATTCGAATGTCAGAGCATTTGCCCTGCCGGTCCCCACAGACTGTGCCATGCAAGGTAATCCGCCAATCCCTGATCCTCGGATTTACTTTCTCGATACTCGGCTTCTGGGAAAAAGAATACTTTGCTTGCATACCTAGAGGAAATGTTCTTTGGGTGGAGTTATGGTCGAAGCCAGCAGGGCTATGTATGGAACTTAGTTGTTGAGTTACTATTTAGGAGCTCAATGCTGCTTGTTCTGTCTTCTCATACGATACTCAGAGGCTCCCTGGGGAAGGGTTTCCAGTGCAATATATCCTAGGTGAAAGGTCTAATCCAGATCCATAGGCTGTCTTTTTACCACTAAATTCTTCTCATTAAAGAACTGCCAAGGCTGGGCTCGTGGTAGCTGTTACTATTGTGATGCACCCTGATCTCTTCTTTCACCCGTCGCTCAATGTAGGTAAAACAGTGCATGGTTCTTATTGTGATCGGCCAGCTGCCGTGGGGCTTTCTATCATAACTGGCGAAGATCTCCTAACATGCTATTTCCGCAGAAGATGCATAATTCACCGAGTGTGCTGATTAAAAGAGCAGAAAAATTATCGATGAAGATAAGCTATAGAAAGATTGTTCGCAAAGCAGTGAAAATACTGTAGTAAACGCTTATGCCCTCACAAAAGCAATCCATTCCCAGAGAACCCCACCACGCAACGCAACTTGACATTCCACATCATACGAGTGACAACAGTGGCCCAGTCGCGCCGGTCACGACCTCGCGAAGCAAGATGTCGTCATGCAGCCTGTACAGTGCAGTCGAATGCACGCTGCAGCGCCCAAAGGGCAGCCATGCGCAACACCCACATCTCCGCCCGCATATATAACCCTAACCCCGCGACCGTCCACCCCGATTCCCATATTTCCACCCTCGACCCAGCTTCAACATACCTTCACCTCAACCTTTTGAACTGTATAGCAAACAACATGTCCTTCCACACCTCCTGCCAGAACATCCACCTCATCAAGGAGGACGGTCGCACCATCCTCCACGCCGAGGTCCGCCGCCGCAACAACGAGATGGTCGCACGGACGTTTCCCTTGGATCGGCACATCGGGAATGCAAATGGTGAGTAGTATCCACCTTTCCCTAGTTGAAAAAATCAAAACATAATTTGAGTTGAGATTCTCTGAAAGTATCAGTGATGACTGACAGCTCGAACCACAACAGGCGGCTTCCAATGGGGCGGACACGACTTCAGCCACAGCGCGCGCGATATCGAACTCGAACAGACGGAGCGGGGGCCCCGGCTGACGGCCTTTCTGAAAGGGGCCGGCGGGGAATACCGGGAGTTGCAGGGCTTGTACCTGGCCGATCGAATCAAGAATGAGGACGGGAACCTGATTTACTTGGTGGGTTTGGAATGTTTCTCCGAGTGTGGAGCGGGTTACTGACTTTGTTTATCTAGAATTGAGGGATGCGACTCGTAAGGATTGGGGCTGATAGGTTCGGATCATCATTTCAGGCAGCAAGATACTAGGTAGCGGGGGTACACGATGGTATTTTGATAGACGGCTGAATTATGTTGTGTCGGGTGATGTATTGATGAGGGTAGACACTACAGTGCTCTATGGGTATGATTCACATGCGTCTTGATGAGGGGTAGGTAGTAAGGGTGGTCGGAGGGTTCATGGAAGAGCATATTAGCTATTGCTATGGAGAACACGCTGCTTGAATAAGTTCCACGCGGGTTCTACTGCACACATTAACAGGTAGTCTAGGTGGGATCTTTATGTTATAGCGTAGAATAAACCTCTGTTCCCTTGTCACGCGAATAGATCCTGACTGCGATACATTAGCAATATCACTTACTCAGCCCCCCCCACCCCCAAAAGCCAATTGACGACATGTCCAAAAGGCCTGACCATCGGGACTCCATTTGGAATCGACGGGAACTTTTCTTAGAGATCGACACGCAACCAGGTTTGGTCCGGATGCCAACCCGACGGAATTCCATTCCGTGGAGGAGGACAACACCGACATTTAAAAAAGGGCCATAGTTCTCCCCTTGCACGGGAGGAGGACAAAGGAGAAGCGAAACAGACCACGCACAAAATGGCCGATAAGAAGGTTTGTCAACTCCACAGCCGCCGGCCCTCGGGGGCTCAAAAGATCGCCCGCTGATCATACATAGAGAGTCTACTACAGCTACAAGAGCATCGAGGCGTACAACGAGTACGATGACGAGGTGAGGAGGTATGTGCAAGTCAATCTCTAATCTAACCCACCTGATGCAGCTAATTCCGGACCCGCGACAGAATCATCCAATATGATACCGACCAGGACATGTGGTCCTGCAACCGAGCGCTGCCTCCGACCTGCTACCCTCCGTAAGACTGCGATGAGTGCGTTAGTTGGGCTCGAGACTGACGGTATCTTTCAGGCCTCTCAGCGAGGAGTGCATCAGGAGGGTGAAGGAGCTGAGTGATGATGTGATCGTTCACGAAATTGAGGATTAGTGGTCAGGGTGGATGCAATTCGGAGAACCCCGTTGCGATGGCTTGATGGTTAGTAGCGGGCTGCTCTACGGTTTTAGCCTGCCATGTAACCAAAATTCCGGTGCAATAATCTCTTCTCGAGCCTATACATGCCATGATTTGATATCAAGTCAGAATGTCTATCCGACATACTATCGCAGAGAGTCCGACTCCTACACCACACAGGTCAAATGTAATAACGGTGATCAGCAAATAGCAGTCTCAATGATTGAACACGCAACCTCTCTTGGCCATCTCCAGCAGGTTGCTAGGTACAAATGCAGATCGAGACAGCGATCGAGGGCCTGGTAGATTGAACGAGAGGACCCACGCCTATATAATCTGCTTGTGGTGTACACAAAATTCAGTCCCCACAAGCCTGAACCACGAGATATCGTTCTTCCCGCCCGAGAAATCAAAAATAAACCCAATTTACCAACGCCTAAAGAACCATTCCTCAACGCTATGTCTTCGAGACGTCAGCTCGCTCGCACCCCGTATCACCCGAGCATAGACTCACGGTGTTGAATCACATCCATCGTTTCAGTCTGACTGGTTCAAGATTGTATTCCCAACATCGAAACGGCCTGCATGTTGAATTTCTCGCGTGCCGAATGCCGGACTCAGTCCATTTTGTCACTATTTTCGACCCAAGATTAGACAGCTGAGAAGATCTGCTTCCTGTGCTGAAAGTAACCCACCGGCTGCTCATAGCGATCAATCAGCAAGCCAAATAGACAACCGTCATTTTCCAAATCCACTAGCTGGTCGCTTACACACTGCGTTTTGTCGATGACCACTGATTAGCTGGGCTGTCAAGTCAGGAAGCCTTTGCACGATGGCAATCACGCACTGCATTCACCAGAAAGTCAGTATGAGCCAGAAGATATTTCGAGGCCTGGAAATTACAAAGAGGTAAATAGAGACACCTACACTCTAGATTCCCGAGTATTAGGCTGCAGGTCAACGCTGTCCATCAGGTTGGTAGCGCGCCGATGTCCGGGTTACTCACTTTCCTCTGCGCCGGGTCAATGGGAATGATTCAACCATGGACCTTGAGCCTTGGCAAGCAACAGGAAAAGGGGTCTTACGAGCTATACCACGACAGGTAAGCAAATCGTGTCCGAGCGCTATTGATTGTCACATGGGTGCGATTGGCACGCACCTCCTGCCGTCGAAGGACATGAACCCATTAGCAACGGAAGAGAGATAAACCAGTAGATATTGTCAACTCACCGCCTGGATAAAAACAGTTTCTAGAATGAACACTCGCGGGGGCCCACGGCAGACATACAAGCTGCGTGGAGTTAGGCCCAACCTATGAAACACAGTGGTGGTGACGAAGATATACCTCCTTGGCTGCATATTAGTAACAGCTCTGGCGACCAAGGCGGATTGGCTTACATCCCGTAAAGCACTCTATCCACAACCATTATATCAACTCAGTGCCTTCGTACCGGTGCTAAGCCTTGCTACTCACCGCCTGTACTCAGTCAGAGAGGGGACTGTTCAGCGAGGGCCCGTGTGGATAAACCAGTACTTACAGTCTGCAAACCCTGTCAGTATCTCTCTCTGAGCCGACCTATCTGTGTCAGAGGAGGAATGGATGGCCTACTCCATTCAACTCCTTCACTGTGCTTTCAAGAATCTATACCGATGCATCAGAAAAGACGGATATAACGGACTTCGATCTGCAATACAGAAGCTCACATTCTAGACAACCTTGTTGGCGACGCAGGCGCAGGGGTATCTCGGCATCAATTGCGGAACTCACGGTCTTCATGACAAGGGATTAGTCTTGTGTAAATGTGATAGCCCCTTCCACAGCTGCACTGGACTCACTTTCTAAGCAGTCAGGTCAGTCGGCATTTCGCAAAGCCGGGTCGGCGGAGAAACACACCTCCCGCAAAGAGGTCTGCCGCAGCCGTCAATGAACACGAGACTCGATATGTTTTATCCCATTGCGGGGTGACATACGATCTTGAGAGATTTGGGCTCAGCGTTCAGTGATAAAGGGATCCTTGGAGGTTCGGTTTTCTCACGGTCTGTGGAGTTATGTTAGCATGGCCACCGGGTGAGACATTGGCTGTCAAGAACCCACCTGATTCATTTCGGTCTTTGCAGGATGGAAGAATCGGGGGCTTAGTTGTGACAATCCTCGGGAAGAACCATCATGAACTTACAAGCTGATATCGGACCCACATCAGTTAGTCAACAGTTGTGCGTAGAGGTGATCCAAATCCATACCCACTAATATTGACAGATGATTCCCCTCGGTGATTAGTGAAGGCTGCTCTGTCATACATACTTCTGGCGCCTTCCCGGACTTACATCGGTGCGTTGATTCTTCGAACCAAGGTCAGCAAACCGACTCACCCGGAAGGGATGGTATGAGACTTACCCACTGAGTCACCAGCCGATATTAGGAATAGATGTGAGAAATAGCGGGCCTGTATCGTGCCTACCATCTGGTGGGACTGTGAGCGTCTCAAGGAAGCCGAAGCCGGATAGTTCTGCACAGTGTGCACAGCCTTGAGACCTAACATACATCCTAAATTCCGCACACAACCGATGAGATCCTGGATTCCAAAGGGCAAACTCTGACTCGACTTTCTGGGTCGCGCAGGATAGCAAGACCTACCGCCTGATAACAAAAGATCTCGGTCAGTATATATATCCATTGGCACACCAGTTGTACTGATAGCACAGCTTACAAGCTGGATTCGATAAGTTGATTAACTTTCAGGATGTCTGGTACTGCAGAGGCGCTTCAGCGTGCTGCGGAGCGTACCTTTCCGCCGCACAATAGTGACTAGCAGCGTCAAAGGAATTACTAGAGGTTCAGCATCATGGTGCCAGATACACCCATGTGGATCGTCCTGCCATTATTCATATTTAAGGATAGGGGACACATACCCCTTCAGACTAATTCGTGAACAGTCAACACGTCAACCCACGACTGAGGGTAGCAGGCGGAATAGTGGCTTGAGAGCAACGTACACACTTGTTGTGTTATTTAGACACATCATAAGCACAACGGTCTGGATCCTTGTTCATAAGGGAAGTCACATACATCCTAGACTCAAGAAGTTAGTGTTGGGCCATATTTCAGAGAAACGTAAAGCAACGTACACACTGATTGCATAACAAGCGACCATGATCAGCATCCGAGCGGTCGAGTTTATATTCTTAGAGGAATACATACAAACTAGAATCACCCTTATCAGTACATTGGCCACCTGAGGTTGTAAATTGACTACCAGGTGATACTTACGACCTAGCCATGGTCACATTCAACACTTATATATCCACTCTCTTACCATTCACAAAACATACCTCGTCCTGGACCGATCGTTAGCTGTTCCATCGGGAATCACAGAGTTGTTGCCGATATTGCTCCGAGGGGTCGGCTCAGGGCAGAGATAATCATTACTCACTTGCTGAGTTTCAGCATCAGTCGGCGATCGTGCCAGGGACTAAACTAATTGAGTTTCCATACTCACCCACTACCAGCAATGCTGATTAACAATCGATTGTAGCATTCATCATCCCTGGCGACGATATGACTTACTAGATACTAGACGGGTATCAGATCTCCACCCTAATGTGGCAGCAATATGCCAGCCGCGAGGTATTACTCACGCACTAAACCAATCCCAGCGGGTACAGCTGTTCAGCCTTCGTCGTGATCTTTCAACTTACGCAAAAAACTCACTCGCTGATGATGGGCAGGCGTGTTAGTTGAAGGCCCGTGATCCCGGCCTCCGCACAAGGGAAAGGTTGCTTACCTTCTGCAGGCAGATGAAACCGTAGCAGTCAGTAGCCAAGTCGCCCATCCGCCCTGTCCACTTACGTACTACCGTAGACATTAACGAGGTTCTCCTACAACAGAACAGCGGTGGCCTACTTACTGTAGTCTAAATAGTCAGGATGAAGATCTCGTCAGTCAACATTGGCCACGGGTGTGCCACGAAAGGAAGCTGGGCCCTAGACCTCATTAGCATGTGCAGCTCCAAGCAGTGGCCCGAATTTGGAAATGAATGTGCCCGCCGATCTACTTCCAGCCAGAGGCCTCTCAGGAGTATCCCGGTCGTTGTGTTCGAAGGCATTGCTGCACTGGACGCGTCCGGCAATCTCGGCAATGGCAACGAGGACCACGCTAGCTTTGATGATGATCATATCTGGCGCAAGGACGAGTGTCAAAGGGGACACTGAGACTCTTGGAGATGGGAAAGGTAGACATACTGATCAAGACGTCACGACAATCGCCACGGAGATAGATTACGCAGGGAGAAGGTGTCTGGAAAATAGAAAAATGAAATGCAACGAAGAGAGCATAGTAGAAGGAAAGGTGCAGATGTCATTGCGATGTAAGAATGCATGGCCCCCTCTTTCATGTGACCGCGTCCTTGCGCAATGTATTCACTGCAACGACATTGGCGCGGCTATACCAACAGTATGACCGCATCCCCTCTCCCCTTTCCACCCCGGGCGGACAAAGGCCTTGTTGGAAGGCCGGTGACATCAAACACCCGAACTACCTCTCCGACAAACATAGCTCCGACGCACCTGGCGCATTCCTTGCCCGCTCCTTTTCCGCTTGGCGACTGTGCCTGCCCCCAATGACAACAGCACTAACCGGCTTCCCAGCCCTAGTCGAGGCCCCTCCCAACCTCACCGGCGTAGTCGGCCAACTGCGCTGCTACTACAGCAAGAACGCCGAGATCCTCGAGGCCCGACTGGAAGGCAGTCCCCGCGCCCCGCAGTGGACGCCCGCCCAGTCGACGGGGATGCACCAGCACGCGAATGGCAGCTACCTGCGCGGCGCCTTCACCTCGGACCTGAGATCCGACCACAGCTCGGAGACCAACACGGTAAGCCTCTGTCTCTCTCTGAAAGGAAATCCCTCCTCGGGTCGGGGTACTGACCACGAAGGAGAAGATCGTCTTGCTCTTCCACGGCCAAAACACCCACTACGCCCAGCGGCTCGCACAAGGCTCGGATACCTGGACCCAGCCGGTGGACATCACCGCCGAGCCGACGGCGGACACCTCGTTCGGCCTGGTCGCGCCATTCTGGCGGCCGGCCATTGTGGATGTTGCGAATCAGTGGGCGTTCCTGAGCCGGTCAGTCAATCTCCCAGTTGAACCTCCCCCTCCACCCCCGATATCATGCTGGTAACAATCCCTCCCCCGAGGTCAGAGGTAAAAAGGTCTTCGAACTCCACCGCGACGGCCACACCGACCCGTCCGCCGCCTGGACCAGCCGCGAGATCTTCCACGCCCCGGCATCCGACTCGACGGTCAACTCGACCGCCGCGTGCCTAAACAAGGAGGGCCTGTGGGTGTTCGTCAAGTGCTCCGAGACGCTGTATCTGCTGCGCCGCGGTTACGAGGACCAGAGGTATCAGGGCGGAGGTATGTACTGTACTGTACACATGGTGTGTGGATTTTGGATTCGAGACTGAAAGTTGGGCCCTAGAGAACCCCTGGGTTAAACAGCCCGGCTTTGCCATTGGCGCCGTAAGCGCCTGGGACAGCGCCCCGCGGATCTTCCTCTGGGAGATTGCGGACGGGCAACGCACGGTCATCGAGGCATCGACAGCCACTACTACCGCAGCCGGCGGCGAGCCCGGAGACTGGATTGATATCTTTGACGGCTCGCGCGACCAAGGCCGGAAGATCCTCCACGCTTCCGTTGTCCTGCAGCAGGGGACGCGGACGTCCCAGGGCCCGCGCCCGGAGACGGTGACGCTGGCGTACAAGGTCGACGATGCGATCCACACGCGCGTCTGGGACAAGGAGCGGAGGCAGTGGAGTGACGGGCCGGTGGTCTGCGCGTCGCTGTCGGGATCGTAAGATTATTGAGCGAGCGGATGGCGTGCCTGTGCAGAAAAGGCTGGGGAATTCTTCTTATGGGCGTGCTTTCTGGATACGGTGGCTCTAGAAGTCTCGGACTCTTGATGGGATTGTAACCACTCATCACTTTGTCGGGGATTGTTGCCTCTCCCTCCTCACGAACGACAAAAGAATGGTTGATGAATCTGATCCTGTTTGAAATGCTGGGTTTGATTTTGCGAGACCTGGACTTTCGGGTCTAAAAAGAATTTCCACGTAGTATTTTCAACTCATTTAGGAAATTCTGATTCTATATTCCCTGGACTAGGTCTCGCAGAGGCCCAAGAGCTAGGAGGCAAGCCTACACTATATCTGCCTTCGTTACTAGTAATAAATAACCGGAGACAAGCTCTCAACAGCACACCCGAGCTACAGCCACAGCTACAGCTCCTCTATATTCCCTGCACATAGAAGTCAACGACCAACCACGCCGGAACCCACGAAGCCGCAGGCAAACCCTCCACAACCCAAGTATTCTTCCACTGGACACCCGCCGCCTCCCAGACCGCATATTGACCCAGCGCAGGCGCCTTAGCCATTGCACTGCCATTTACCGAGATGATGGACCCTGTATCCTCCAGCGCTGCCGCCATGTCCTCGGACCCCAGCCCGGGCTTCAGATACAGCCACGCCGCGCGAACCACGACTCCTGCTTCGCGCGCCCAGAAGGGGAATCGGTCCTTCACGCGCTCAATCTCCAGGGTCCCATTTCCCGCGGGAAGCCGCGGCAACTCGATCCCCACGTAGAACGGCACAGGCGTGCCATCCGATAGCGTCTCCCCGGAGCCCTGCAGCGTCTGTCTCGCCGCTTCAGTCGCGGCCTCACGCAACCCCCCGCCGCCGTCGGCAGCGGTATACCCGATATCCAGGACCACATCCGTAATCCCCCGGAGATCAAACGTGCGAATCGCACTCGGGAACTCGATCCGCCAGGTGGAGATGATCCCTGCGCCTTCGAACGGGGTGTATCGGTGGTTCGTATCGCGGAAGCGAAGGTCCAGAACGCCGGTGTCATTGGTGCCCCTGCTCACGGCGATCGACTGGATCGGGATGTTATCCGGGGCTACGACCCGGCCGGGCGAGCGGTAGTTACTGGCGTCGCTGGAAACACGGTACCGGTTTGCCAGAAGGGTGACGGTGCAGGACAGCGACATCGGGGCCGGCGAGCGACAGCGCACCGAGACAGCCACCGAGCATATCCAGCGGCGGAAGTGGCCAGGGAAATCGAGGTCGGATATGGTCTCCGGCAGGTCGAACTGGGCGACGCCGGTCTCGCATAGAGAGAGCAGTGCTTTGGGGTCTAGTTCACGCAGCGAGACGGTCTTCAGGACCTCAAAATCGTGGGTCTTGTTCTGCAGGGACAAGGTCTCGAGACGCTTGAGCTCGAGGTAGATGATCTCGCCGCAGGTCTGGCCGTCCTGCGCGTTTTCCCAGCACGCATCCAGGTCGCCAGTGGTGGAAATATCCAGCGAGGAACCAAACTCAAAGTCGAGCGCCCGTTGCACCAGCCTGACCAGATCCATCGTCAGGAGGTACGTGCGGTGGAACACGGTGCTCATCGAGCGGTCGAACACACGGTACAGCTCTTGATTCGTATATTTCGTGCGCAGCCACTGGGCCTCGGCCATCGAACTCTCCATCTCGTGCTGCTGGGACTCCACCTCCGCATTCAATGTGTCCAGACGACGGCTGGCCTCCTGGATCTGCCGGTCAATCTTCATAATCTCGTAGCCAGCAATGTTGGCCTGCAGCCGACGGTCCTGCAGCTGCCGTTTGGCATCGGCGCTGCGCGCCGCCAGTTGCGACTGGATGCCCTGGATATCCGCCCCGATCCCAAAGGCCGCCCCCATCGCCTTGAGCCCTTTCCCCACATTCTCCGTCGGGATTTCGGTGGTGACGCCAATTCCCATCGGCAGGGTCATGACGCTTTCCTTAGGCATGGCCAGGAAGCCAGCCGCTGTGGTGTGTGTGACGCGCTCGGTGACCTTGATGGGCAGCATGGCTTCGAGCGCAGCATCGCGCGCGGCATCTTCGGGGGACTTGCGCAGATCGTCCGTCGAAGGAGGCTTGATGTCCTGCTCAACCTCGTGCCAGCTGTCGCCCTGTTTCGGAATCTGGGCTTCGTCTCCCGTGAGCCGCAGGTAGTATTGTAGTTTCATGACCTGCTGCTGACGCATAGCGGTCAGACTGTCCGTCGTTTTCCGGACCTCGGCCGTCCGATGCTCTTTCACGCGACTCGCGAGACTGAGAAGTGATTGCTGGTGTGTCAGTCTCAGCTGCGCAAGGGCCTCGGCGTCGTTCTTCTCCTTGATGGTTTGGACCTTTTGCCCCAGCGACTTGAGCTCGCTCGCCAGCTCCAACGCTCTCTGGAGGAGGTAAGAGAACCGGTAATTCGGCATGGGTCCGCTGAAGTCCCCGAGTAGGCCTGCAATCCCCGACCCCCCGGCACCAAATGCTTGCATCAGCGCCCCCGGATCGATCGATGGCTCCAACAAGGGCAGCCGGCGCTTGGTCCCGTTGATATCCATACCGTGACGAATCTTGAGCAAGCGATCATCAATCAGGGACCGTAAACTCTGAAGATACGGATTGCCAGAAAAGCAGAAGTACGGAGTCTTGAGGCTAGTGGCAAGGGGCTGGATGGCCGGGCACCTCCGGCCACGGCTGGCTGGATCTGCGTAGAATGGGAATTCCACCTCCAGATCGACCTGGCCGTTGGAGAAGTCATCCAGGGAATCCTTGATGTCGTTATATGACTTGACTACTCGCGTCCCCAGCTGGGGAATCTCCACTGGCGGGGGACCGAAGAGCTGACTGGCCTCTGTATACATCTGGATCGCAAACGGGATGCTTTCCAACGTATCCTGCCGAAAGTATTGGTCGCCCATTGCCAGCAAGCACTCGATGTACTTGAAGGCTATGCGCTTCATATACGCGACCGGGTTGGCGCGCGCAGCGGCATGCACGTTCCCTTTACTCTCGCGGTACTCGTCCTCGCTGAAGCTAGTCTCCCCAGTGACATGTGCCACTGTCGCCAAGCGCACGCTATCTTCGCGGAACGGTGGGAATGACCAGCACCAATTGATGTCTGCGTTGTTCTGGCTGGGGACGCGTGGGTCGAACACCAGACGCGCGATTTTCAATGCCAGGTCGAGTTGCTGCGTGCTGAGCAAATGCTCGAAGAGGAGGGAGGGGATATGCACCCCAATCTCCCAGTTGTATAGGGCAAATGGCATCGCACCCTCGTGGTAACGGTCAGTGGGCTCTGCTTCGAAGGGGTCATGCCATTGACCAAAGGCGTTTTGATAGTCGTCCGCTCCGATGTTGCGCATGTGGTCATACAAAGTGTCAATCCCATTGTTGGTCTTCATGCTCGCAAGAAAGCCGGGCGAGAACCGGTTCATGAACTCCGTCAGTTCGAAACCATGAATCACCTCCAAGTCCACGTAGTGCTTCTGAGTCGTCGTGTCAGAGAGCTCGAGAAAGAGCCCCGTGACTTGTCCCTTGAAAGGATAATTGAAATCCAAGGTCCACTCCGGAATAAAGCTTTGGGATTGGGATGGGAGTTGCGCCAGGCGAACATTGATCTCAGCCCCGCCATGGTTGATGGAAGTTTCCACTGGCGGGGGGGGATTCGTCTGCTTAGGCTTACGGAATTTAACAAATTCGGTGAAGATGGTTTGGCCTTCATCCCCCGTCTGAGTACTTACCTTGAGTGACGAGGTAGGATAGCTTTCTTTATTCAGGAGCACAAGATGCTGATCCCTGACTTCGAACGTACCCAACGTCACAGGTTGTGGGCGTGGGTCGAGAGACTTGATCCATTCGACGTCAATCTTCAAGCTACCCCCTTCATCATAAGGAATCCAGAATTTAAAGTGCGAGTTGTTGGGAGATTCTTGGCTCTCGTCCCCAGACCCGGCTGGGACAATGATGGTGGAATCTGCCACCTCCCTGGGAGACCACTTGCGGTTCTGAAGCTTCATGAAGCCCATCCGAATGTGCCACTGGCGAGTAACGTTGACCGTCCCAACGTCGTCATTGCCGGAGCTGCCCGGCTGTACGCTACTTGGCTCATAGGTGTTCTCCTGTTGAGGGACCAACTCTGGCAGGAAAACATACAGAACACCCTGATGGATCTTGGGGACTAGATATGATCCGGATCGGTCCAGCCTGAGGCCCCGATGGTCGGTCGCGTGCACAGGAATATCTGCAGTCAACCTAGTCCAGGGAGTCCAGAGAGGCGTCCAAACCGGGGCTTGAAGTGAATTGGTGGGTATCCTAACTGTACGATAATAGAAGGAAGGTGGCGAAGTTCGGTCTCGACCAAGGATGTGGATAGTGTGATGGACTTCATCCTCTTCGATTTCCAGGGCATACGACTCAACCCTCAAATTGGCAACCTCTGAGGTTTTGTGGATGTAATCTTTGACGATGGTAGTGATTGTTTCACTGTCGACCTTGCCCTGCACAATAGCCGACTCCAGCTGCTGGAACTGCTCGCTCTTGTCGTCCCGCAACGTGGGGTCTAGCCAGTTCTCTGCATATAGAAAAGCCTTCCTGCTTGCCTCCCATAAGCGGTATCGGAGGACATAATCAAGGTCGAGCGTCATGATCAGTCTTTGGCATTCACTTCCTTCTAGCCCTAAAGAGCAACGACGGATAAAAAGCTGCACAGTTGAGATTGCCTGTTTAAGCCGCGAGGTTTGCAAGCCTGATCCCATTTCCACGTCAATCAAGAAGTAGCTCAAGAGCTGATCGGTCGAGGAAATCCCGAGGGTTTGCGCGGCTTTCATGGAGGCAAGGTACTGCACCAGAGCCGACCTCTGACTGTCACGCATGATATCGAATGCTGTCGACAAAGCGGTAGCACTCCCATCAGAGGGCCCAAGCGGTGCTCTGGACTGTGCCCCTGCCCTGATGCTCGCAGCCTCCTGAAAGTCAATGGAAATGTTGGGGTATCGCGGTCGCGCCATGTCAAAAAGTGATTTGAAGGGGATAGTATGGAGCCCAGCACTGGTGACAAAATTCATGCTATTTCGCATCTCAAACAGACTGCTTATGTTCTGGAAGTGCTTGATGCGGTCCCCTTCTGAGACTTGGGCATATTTGGCATCCAGAAACTCGGTGCATAGCTTTTCAGACCATCCAGTGGTTTGCGAGATCTGAACGGCTAGTGACTCGTCCTTCTTGTCTTTGGAGAAAGCCCAGTGATAGAATGAGGTTAGCGGCATCGACGCGTGCTTCTGCTCAGACTCTTTTTTAAGCAGGTTATATTGGGCAAGGTTGCTGACTTCTTGGAGCTGAAAGCTGTCAGCCCATGCCTCATCTCTGCTTTTGGAAGACAGAGGATGGGTGAGCATCCAGCGTTTCAGCTCCAGAACATCCAAATCAAATTTATCGAGGAGAAGCGAGATGCGTGTGAGCCAAGAAATTACAATTTGACAATCTTGAACGGCATTTATCTCGGCGAGGACAGTAGAGTCGAACTCTCTTGCCTTGGTAGCTGCGGCTTGATTCGCATACCAGGTGAGGTCTGCGATGGGGTTATCATATTTGATTGTATACCAACGTCTGCCGATAAGTGTACCCGTTGTCACCGTTCCGGCCGAGAGCTCCAAAGCGCCTCCATCTAATATGAGAGAACCTGGAGTCGTCCCTTCTTTGCAGGCTATGCGATACGTATCTGTGGCCGGCGCTCGGAAGTAGCCTTCAAAGTTGTCTCCGTCAGGGCTGGCAGTCACGGATAGGTCGACCAGTATTTCCATATAAGTCTTTGGACTGGACGTTGACTTCTGAGCCATAACCACCACAAGCGCAGCCATGTCGAAGCTGGCGAAGTGAGTACGTAGCGTGTTTAGTATGGACTGATGGCTTCGGGGATGGGGCTCGTCTCGCGCTCCAAGAGCCGCGAACTTCGTTGCTTGACCATGGTTCTCATCGTTCGCTCGTAGCGATGAGAGAAGGTCAAGGCACTTATCAACGCTTAAAAGGTCCCTAGTATCAGTCGCACTCGCATCCCCGTTGACAACCAACGATAAGTCGCCAAGAGTCCAGTCCTTGGTTATTGGCTTCAAAGGAGGATAGCCTTGAACCACCTGGAGGGTAGTCCGCGGAGATTGGAATGGGCTCTGGAAAGTAGGATGCAGATTACAAAACCTGGTGTAGTCCACTGGCGAGAAACCCAAGACTTTGCACAAAGTAGCAACGCGATAGATCTCCGAGAGGTGCTCCATACTGAGATCCGGATTATCGCCCATATCCACGGCTGCCTTGATTGCTTCGTACTCCACGACGGAAATGCTAAACGCGACAAGAATCGCATGCAGGAGACTCTCCAGCTGCTCACCAGGTCTTAGAGCGCCCGTCTCGTCCGGCGTGAAAGCTTCTCTTTCGGTTTCCGAGAGGCGTCGACCGAGGAATAGTCGATTGTAGAGCGATTCACAGGCATGGGTGTTGAAATTGCCCCAGAGAGGCTGAAGATTGATAGGTGGCAGCTTGGTAATTTCCGACAACTTTTGCACGGCAGCCACCTGGGTCAAGAGCAAAGCATCAATGGTTGGGGGTTTCACTGTAGAAAGGGTGTCGATCATTGCATCTAGCTCCTGGAATGACCACTTGAGCTTGTTCCTCAAACGTAGGAACGCTTGGACTCGGTCGCATGTTTCATCTGTCGGCAAACTTGCTGTGCCAGACATGTCTTTCACCAATGGCCACTGCAACTCGCTTCCTATGTATTCAAGCCCTGGAAGTGAGCCAGCTGTAGTCGCCTTCGATAGGACAGCTGTACCGGACACGCACTCCTTGAGACGCATACCACTGAAGAGCGCTGAAGGATCCTCGACACTACTATTGGGGATCTCGATGACCAACCTCTTGTCGAGATATTTCGTGTGCAATAGAGTCAAAATTTCATCAAAGCTCATGCCACTTCGTGGTAAGAGTTGCGCTTTGATCGAGGTCAGTCCATTCTCCGAAGTCATGGTACCATCATCGTCATAGCCCCAATACTGGCTGGCCGTTCTGAGGCCAATCCTTCCATTGTAGTCGTCTCGACTTTGGGGGCTATCAGGTGGAGCTTCCGCAAGGTTAAATGGGTAGAACCCTTCCTTCGTAATCGCCACGAAATCTTCGTGCTGTAAATTGAGCACTTCCGCGGCTTGAGCGCGAACGCATGCCTCAGAATAGCCTCCATCAGTGGTTCTCGGAATGTTTGCCCCTGTATTGTACGGGGGCTGGAAAGCATCGAGCAGTTGACGGCGTGATGTCCCGAGGACATTCAAAAAGGTTCGAATGCTATGAATGGCTTGGTTGTAAGGGAAAGCAAACAGCGGTGCTACCTTAGTTTGCACAATCTGGCTATACAGGTCAAGGTTTGTGTGCTGGGGCTGCTCAATGCATTGGCCACTGGTGTCTGATCGATCCATGTCATATCGCGGGACTGATATCTCGGTTTTCGGCTCATTCGTCTCCAGGCCCCAAATCACCGACTCCAAGATCTCATTCACGAGGTCGACATAGGGGATCAAGATCTCTGTATTGGCGCATGAAAGCTGTAGGTCCCCCAGGTTTGGTCGGCGTTGGAGAAGTAGATCAAGCATTGTGGAGTCCTCCAACTCAATCTTCCGCAGCGACTGCATGATGTCCACGAAGAATGCCGCTGGTCCTGTCACAGAGGCACAGTCTTCACAGCCCATACTGTCCACCCCGAAGATAGTGCTCAGATTGACGTCCATGCTCCCCGACGGCGTCGAGCTTTGAACTGGGTTTAGAGTGAGATCCATTTTCCCACCAGTTCCGCGCGCCTTCAGAGCCTCAAAGCAGAGAGACTCATTGCGTCTGGTCACTCGCAGAGCGTGATAGTAGATCCTCTGGGCTCGTGCTCGCGGTACACCCTGGCCGCAGAGGGCGCTGATCGCGCCTTCCTCACTGCGAGAGATTTGCTCCGCGGAGTGATACTCGCACCGGATCAAGCCTCCAATATCCTCCGGCTCGCTGACTAGAAGGGATAGTCTTTGTAGTTTAAAGAGATGCTCCCTTAGCTCAGACCACTCCTCCTGCCGTATCCCTGCTAGCTCTCGTTTGGTGGCTGTCCGATCGGCTGTTTTCCCCTCGGACTCATTGCTCTTGATCAGCAAGGGTCGCACCGATTGCCGTGAGATATCGAAGTCGTGTTGGTCGCTGTTGACACGTAAGACAGAAACTACTGCGCTCTTGGCTGTCACGGGGATAGGGATCTTGTCGAGCTCGACGAGACGGCAGATCACGTCAGTCGCCGAGTGGGAGAAAAGGTGTTGACGTAGAGTCGTCCAAGCATTCCGGTCATCATCTGATACCTCGCTAGTGTCTGCTGGAATGGATACCACAACCGCGGCTACTTCCTTTTTGGTTTGAATTGAACCCTTCCCTATGCCTTCCAGCTGGGGCTGAGCAAGGCAGAAGGCAAGTACCGAAACCGAACAGGCGCTAAGTTCATACAGCCAATCTACCAGTCGGAGCTTGGTCCTATTCTCTGAAGACAAGTTCAGGTCCGGGGCAACGGCATCACAGGTAGTCTGCAAATTCCTGGTCTTTGAGAGATAATCCCCAGGTATGTTCTGAACATCTGGGGAGTCCGGGACAATGCGTGGAAGAACCCCGCAGATAAGTAGTTGCAGATCGGAGTCTGAGAGCTGAGGTACGGTGCCGTGATTGAGTAGGTGAGAGGCCATATCATGCCGAACAGGGGGCGAGGAACAGGGCCACGGGTAGGTTGCCTCGATAGAAGCAGTGTTCTTCTGTGATCAGCGTACTCACCATTTGGTTGTTGCTGTTGCTGTTGCTGTTGTTGTTGTTGTTGTTGTTGTTGTTGTTGTTGTTGCGGGAATGGCCACAAGTTCAGATGGTGGCTTCTGAATGAGTGAAAGAAAATTCACTCAGTGTTAAGCATCGACCCGGGGGAGACGGGCTCACAATCTAGAGAGCAAAATTGGACGTGGTCAGGAATCATGCCTGTGCAATCCTGCAAGGTCCCCGGTGAGTGATGCCGACATGTATGAGTAGATAGTCTTCATGAGACCATGGTTCCTAGCGACAAATCCGGTTATCAAGACTACTGACAGCCGGGCTCGACGGCCTTATAACTGATTAGGGTTCAGAAAGTCTATCATCACCTCGGCTGAGTACTGGGTGGATGTCACATGTACAGCATATGTCTCATACAACCGACTACGTGATGGATTTAACGAGCGCAAGATACTCGTTGAGATTTTCTTTCCTGGTAAAAGTCCAAGTCAGCTGACACCTCCTCTTCCAGTCGCTGAGTGTGTCGAAAGCCATGCCATCACTCGATGTGCTGAGGAGCCTGAGGATTTAGGCATTAGGGATTTGAGGTTACATAATCATGTGCGGCTTATGACTTGTAACTTAGAAAGGGGATACGGGATAAATCACCCCTGGATGGAGATGGAAGTTGAACCAATTTTCTTGACAAAGCTCGCACCTGCCACCGGTCTTCCCAGAGCAATCGGAACATGAGCTATCCCGTAATAATATACCCTGAAGGTGTTCAGCGACCGATGGTTGCGTTCGGATCCTCGGGCATCATCTTTCGCGACTCGTGCAATGATACCGAAGTCCTGAAATGCCCTCTGCGCCATGACTTGAGTAAATGCAGCGAAGAGACTGCTCTGTCTATGCGAGAGGAAGAGGCCTTTTCCTCTATGAGTATCGAGCGAGAGATGTTGATCTACCAATCTCTTCCCAAACACAGTCACGTTCTTGACTGCATCGACATAACCGAGAAGGGTATCCGCTTGCCCTATATGCGCCATGGCAATCTCCGAGACTACATCCGCAAGAACCACGCGCACGTAGACAATGCGACCAAGGACACCTGGATCCAGAATGCAGTTCGCGCCCTGCAATTCATTCACAGCCACTCCGTGATCCACGGAGACATCAGCGCGCGCAACTTCCTGGTGGCGGATGACCTCTCACTCAAGCTGTGTGACTTTGCCGGCTCGGGCATCGGCGACATGCCGCCGCTGGTCACGGAAGAGGACCGGTATAGACTGTCTCCTGAGTCCCCTCGATCCATTCAGACCGATCTGTTTGCCCTGGGCTGTCTGATCTTCGAGATCGTGGCCGGGTACCGCCCGTATGAGGAAATCGGTGACGATGATTGGGAGACAATTGCACAAAACTACTCTCGGGGAATATTTCCGCCGGTGGAGGGTATTCGATATGGAGACATCATTCATCAGTGCTGGACCTCCCGATACACCAAGGCTGATCAGGTTCTCGCGGACATTGAGAATGTCAGCTATGGTAGACCGAAGCAAAGAGTGAATTGGTTGGATGCTGTATTCAAGTTGCCCAGAACAGCGATTCTATCACTGGGGATGCTGCCAGTTGGTATATTTCTCCTTTACGTCTACCGGAAACACCGGTAGTCCTCTAAAGTGGTAGCCCTCTAAAGTTGTCTGAAGCAAAGAGTGTGAATGCAAATGCCAGGGAGCGCACTCTCCGTTCTGTTCCTAGGGTGGCAGAATCTGCCTAATGAAGTGCAGTCTGTTTTCGTTGTATAAAGCACTCGATAGGGGAGACGTAACAAGAGTAGATTCAGACCCCTAGATGCACGTGATCCATTGGCCTTTCCATCCGGTCCTCCCGCTTCCAACAGGTACTATTTATCTTCATCTTTCCTTGTTGCCTATTTTCCTTGCTACCTTGGGCCTGCAACTCACAGTCAAAATGGCCAAACCTGCCTCTCCTGATGAATCCTTCTCACCATCAACTCAAAGCCCAGAGATAAGCAGCAGAAGCCGCGGTTATTTCATCCACCCCTCCTAGGCCATCATCACGTGGACAATGGCCTCGCTCTGCTTATCCGTCCTGCTCATGGGGCGCCTAATCCAGGGTCGGCATTGAGATGAATTCCATGGGGAGATCCGAGAATGTTTCACGTGTGAAATAACTGACGTGACGAGGTTTCGGTTGCTCGATTGGATAAGAACGACGGGGCGTTCGTAACCCGATAGAGAGCACACAAGGCATGACTCTAAGGGGGAAGGGTGATATAAATCACCCTCTGTCCATATCATTCGACCCGTGCATTCTATACCCTTTGATTACCTCACTCACAATCGCATACATTTCCTTTGACCCTTGTTCAAATCCAAATAAGAACATTGGTATCATAAATTCCAACACCCCAACATTTCACCAACCGCCTGCGGTGAGTCCACCACCCTATCTCGATCTTCACGTAAGTACAAACAGCAACGACCAAGCACCACACTCCCAAAACCCAGTCCAACCCAGAGTGTTCCGTAGCCGTTGCCGTGCCTGGTACGATCCAGCCAACAAGACATAATCAAAAATGCCCCCTACCCATCTGTGCACCGAACTCGAAGAACTCCGGCCCGAAGAGCGGGTCTGTGGGGCATAGGGCTAGAGGATCCGGCATAGCGATGAAGCTGGCATTGTTGTACACAGTCGGTAAGGCAATAGTCGCATCAATGGAGGCGGAGGGCGAAGCAGGGTTTGGCTCTGTGGCTGGGTAACGTTTCTGCCCGGTCCGATGACGGGTTCGCGTCACTCGGTAGGGGTACTCGAGTTGAGAGAGCCCGGGGTCTTCTTCTGGTTGTTGTTGGGATGGCTGGGATGGTGGCTGGCACGAGCGCTGGTGGTCGCTTCTGCGGGACTGGCTTTGGGGTGTCGTTGTTGCTGCCGTTGTAGTTGCAGCAATGAAGGTGGGAAACTCGAGAACCTCCCAGAAGCCGGACAGTCGGACGCGGAAGTCCGTGTTGTGGTGGGTGCTTTGTTGGTAGGCTGTTGCGGTGTCGTGGATGAGTTGGTGGAGGGTGGTGGACTTCCATGCGTAAAGCAAATCAGTACCTGAGAGACTGCGTATGCGAGGGCAGAGCGGGGGAAGCAAGAAGAGAAATGGAGTAGGGGCCAGGAGGAAAACGTACGAGTCTACGCAGCGCGGGCCAAATCGCTCCCAGCTGGTCGACCATATCGACGCAGCGCTGCAGCCGCTGCTTCTTAATTGCTCGCTCATCTGTCGACCCGGTGTATTGGAGCTGTAGCTCGATGGTGGCCACGATGGCAGCGCAGTACCCCACGATGGGATCAGTAATCCTAAAGGCTTTCTCTTCGAGGAGAATCAAGAGGTCGGAGATCCAGCGTGTGTGGTGGGAGATGAGGGAGGAGGTCTGCTGCAGATGGATCTCCGGCACGGGACACCTCTCTCGAGCACAGAGCATGACCAGGAGCGGGTGGTTCAGGAGGCAGACGGTGGTGTGGTACAGAAACCGACTCAGAAACCACGGCGCCCAGTACTCCCGGTCTGCGTTGATGTCTTCCAGGGTCTGAGCCTCGGGGTTGACCACTGCGTACCGATGGAAGGAAGGCAAGTTGGCCCCGATCTGGAGCAGCAGTGACATCCGCTGGGAATATGCGGACTTGTACGACCACGGCGGGGGTCCGTAGTTGGCGTGTCCACGGCTGCGGACGAATGATCGTGCTTGGGACCAGACTTCACTTAGATAGATGATCGTCATAACGATCCCTTGGTCTGCGTACTGATACTCCTCGGGTGAAGGAGTCGGGCTGACTTTGCTAGGAAAAAGGCGAGGCGCTTGCTCATTGAGGCGAGCATCTTCGGTGAAGACATCGCTCATAGGATGTGTGGCTGTCGAGTAGAATTTTTGCAAGAGAATAATACTCCAACGGCATCGAAGAGCTTCGTCGCCGTACTCGAGCCCTGCCCTTCCAGCCGGTCTTGTCGAGCAGGGTATTACATTCGCCCAGGACACCAGCAGTGATATGTAGGAATGCAAGTGCTGGATATCATCATCGAGCCCTGCAGCCGTGGCAAGCAGGACGAGAGTCTGCAACGTCCAAATAGCCACGTCTCCGCTGAGGATATGCTCCATAACCAGCCGATTAGCGATCGGCCTGTACCCGGCATAGACCTCCTCTCCGCCAGGATGCTCCGGATGGGGCGAGAAGCGCCCCGCCACCGCAAGCAACGCGTAGATGAGCCCCATATCCCGGGACTGGAGAGTGTTGAGGAAGGTGTCATGATGGAAAAGTGGGAACGGCTGCGACTCCACGCATTGCAAGTACAATTGCGCGATCTCTGAGACTTGGACCCAGGGCGGCAGGGTTAGCCTAGTGAGGGGGAGATCGGGTGCTACTGGAACACGGCCTGTGGTAGGACTGGGCTGCGTATCACTCAACTCCTGTAATATTATTTGACTTTTGTGTAGACTGAGGCTAACTGCTCGACGATCGTCATACGAGCACGGTTGGCGCAATCGCGCACAGTGCGCGCATACGGGTCTCTGGCCGGGGCATTTGGATTTCTTCCGGCGACAAGGCAGACAGGCTTGCTTGGCCCGTGGGCGGGAAGTAGGGACCGAACTGGAGGTAGCAGTGCTTAGGGACATCATGCAGCAACCAAGTGGTGACAGCAATCGAGCGATGAGGGGATGGACACGGAGTTTTATAGTGAATGCCGTGCCAAGACGGCCGCCGTACCGAGCCGGCCCGTGTGACGTGATTATCTCCGAAATGGCATCAAAATGGAGAACATGGGGAACGAATACAGTTGACGTAGAGTATAGAGTACCTTATAAACTGTTGGTCCTGCTACTTGTGCTGACGGCCACATTGATTCCCCTGCATCTCCGTCTGGTGTCAATACCCCCAATGACTCCCTCTCAGATTGTCCTTCTCACCTTGATTAGCCAGCTGGCTAGCTTGGCGACTGCAGACTGGCAGTATAGATCACGGCCAGACCTATCTCCTCCCAAATTGAACATCACTGTTTCCGCTGCCGCCTCCACAGCTCCCGGCTACATCTTCACCGCGCCGTACTTAGGGTTCGACGCCGACAGTACCGGTCCCGAGCAGCCCGGCGCTTACATCTTCACTAACGATGGAGATCTGGTCTGGTCGGCCACCGGCTATCTAGCCGGGTGGGTGGCAGACTTTGGGCCCACCGTGGTCGACGAAAGGCTTGTCCTGCGTGCCTTTCAGGGGAGACTTGATGCCCCGCACGGCCGCATGTACGGGGATCATGTCATCTTGGACGACCATTACGAGGCCATCAAAACGGTCCGAGCAGGATCGCATCGACTGGTCTCGTGCCATGAGTTCCAGGTACTAGAGGGAGAGACTGTTCTGATTGAGACGCCGGTCGCAATCCCTACCGATCTCTCACCCTACGGGGGCGATGAGAATCAGACGTGGGTTGTGACGAATGGGTTTCAAGGTGAGCTTCAGTCTCCGCCCTGATCTTCACAAGCTAATATATCTATTTCTCAAAACATAGAGCTTGATATCCAAACCGGTCAAGTTCTCTTTGAATGGTACAGCTACGACCACGTCAGCCCCAAATGTGAGTACCCCAAGCTTAGCCACCACCAGCATAATCCCCCATTCACCCAATCTCTCGAGTAGACACCCATTTCCCCTTGGAAGAAACCGGCCCATTCGGAGGACGTTCCTCCTTCGACGCCTGGAACTACTTCCACATCAACAGCGTGGACAAGGACGACGAGGGCAACTACCTGATCTCCGCGCGCAACTACGCGGCCATCTTCAAAATCAACGGCACGGACGGCGAGATCATCTGGCAGCTGGGCGGGCGCGCAGGCTCCGACTTTGAGATCCCTGACAGTGTGCAATTCGCCCACCAGCACGACGCGCGCTTCCGGTCCCGCTCCGCCGACGGCACCATCGAGCAGATTTCCTTTTTCGACAACGCGATGCACACCGTCCCCGGCCATGCCCTGAACTCGTTCTCCCGGGCGCGCATCGTGGAACTCAACCACACCGCCGGCACGGCGTCCGAGGTACGCACATACGCTCCCCCGGACGCGCTGTCCACCAAGTCCCAGGGCAACGTGCAGCTGCTGGCCAATGGAAACGTCTTCGTCAACTGGGGCCAGGCGGGTGCGGTGACCGAGTATGCCGAGGACGGGGAGGTGCTCTTCCATGCGTACCTGGATTCGGAGCCGTCGAAGAACGTGCAGAGCTACCGCGGATTTCGGGCCGAGTGGACCGGCTTCTCGCCTGAGGAGCCCGCGGTCCTGGCGGTGCGCAGCCAGCAGGGTAGATTGACGGTGTATGTGTCCTGGAATGGCGATACCGGGACACGCACGTGGCAATTCTATTTAGTCTCGCAGGAGAAAAACGGCCAGGTTGTCAAGTCGATCGGAAAGGCGAAACGGACGGGATTCGAGACTGTCTTTACGTCGCAGGTCGCTGCGTCTCTGGTCGGCGAGGAGTCGGTGCGTGTTCTGGCTGAAGCCTTGGACTCCAGAGGCCGGTCGCTCGGAAGGAGTAGCGCGGTCAACGTGCAGGATGATGCGTTTTATCCTTGGGAGTCTGCGAATGCTGGTAGCAATGGCCAGTATGCGAGCGATCAAATTAGACTGGAGCTGTGATGTGGCCATTAGAGGTCAGCGTGATGAGGTAGATGATATAAGATGTGTTGAGCGTGGGTTCCCTTTAGTTCGCCGCCGGAATACCAGTTGTGGCTGGCTCACTGGGTGATCTGTAGATAAGCAATGTACGCAGCTGCCGAGGAAACTTGTTCGCGTCTCGTAGCATCTATCTGATGGTGTCATCGGCAATGGATATGCTCTCGTTCCAGCGTACTTGTCCGTCTGTTGCCATGCCGTCTTTCGCCGTGTACGCGGAGTTTCGCTTGACAAGACGAGCCTTGTCTCACGCCTGCTCATCTGGGTGGCTGATGGTGCAATAGCCCTAAGTCGAATCTATGAACATATAAACGGAGGGTGGAAGCTGCTCTCCTCCTGACTCCAGACGATCCTTACCTTCCTTCTTTCCCAGTCTTTCTGTCTGTCCTCCTTTCTTTCATATTTATTTTTTCTTTCACGCAACTCATACTTTTTCCAAAGCATCCTAAACGTCGCCTGGCTAGCAGAGAACTGCACCACGCCCCAGGAAAGAAGCGTGGCTCTTGCGTTCGTCCCCCTAGCCCTCCCTTTCCGTCATACTGGGAAAATGGAGAATATAGCAAACTCTAACGCAAGCAGACTCATCATCATGGCCGCCAATCTATCCGGATTCAGCGGGGGCCAGATCTTCCGGACGGGCGATGCCCCGCTCTACCGGCATGGACTGAGGGCGTTGTCTACGCTGGCGGGCGCGGCGTGGGTGCAGGCGGTCAGGTTGAATGTCTGGTACTGGATTGGGGGGAGGAAGGGCTCTGCGCTTGTCAAGACGGCGGAGTAGTCGATCATGCTTTGAAGGTTCGGGGGTGAAGATATGTGGGTGGAGGAGGCCGGGGAGGAAGGACAAAAGCGCGGTGGGAGAGGGGGTAGGGCTGAGGGCTACGCGGGGCTGGGTATTGGGTGTGTCCGGGTTGGGTGTCTGTAGTAGTGTTGTATTCGCTGCTAGATGGATTCGGGCCGGTAAACTCATCGTCTCGGAGGGCAGTGAACATCCGCATTCGATGGAATGGGGACTAAGTCTATCTGGTCTGTCCGGACCAGTTAGCTCTACTGCACTTTGAGGTGCCTTTGACGCGGTTGGTCTTATGATTGTGCTTCCTTAGTGTCGTTAGTCTTGTGGTCTGGTCTCTTTAGTGCCTTTAGTTGCGTGGTCTGGCTCCTTTAGTGCTGTTAGTCTTGTAAATCGGTCCACTTTCCTAGCCATCCTCCCATACAGCCCGGATACACGTTGTCTCAGATCTTGCCACGAGGCTGAGCGGGGTCAGGGGTCTTGCTCACCCGGTCGCTGCTTGTTTCTTAGTAGAACTGCCTTGATTCGGGGCGGATTAGGGCGGATAAGGACGGCTGTTCATCTGGGACGGGAACGGGACGGAGCGGGTCGGGACGGGGCATGATCACTGCTATGTGTAACCTGGTGCAGGGGTTCAGTTCTACAGGGAATTAGGGCTAATCGCAACAGAGATTAGAAAAGAGAATGAGCTGAGATCAGCACTGAGCATTCGGGCACAAAGGCATCTAACCCCCTCGGGATACCCCATTTGGTGCTCTTTGATGATTGAATATCAAGAAACTCGATCTCATCCGCTCATCCAAATGAAAAACAAACATGCGGTGGGTCCACGACTGCCACAATCGATTCATGCACCTGCACGAGACAGTTCTGCAAGACTGCCTTACCTCAGCCGGACGAACACCGAGCATCAAGGGGCACAAACAGCCCTCAGCTCCAAGCATACCCCGTCCGAGCATTCTCATTGGCCGTGCCGGAACTTTAGTTCCGCAGCCAAGATAAAAGAGTGGGTCTGGAGCTGAATTCTCAATTCAAGGTTGCCTGCGCGCCTGGCGAGCTGAGCTGATCTCCGTGATCGGCACCAATCGATCGAAATCTCGATCTCTGCCCAGCAATCGCGATACAAAGTACGGTGCGTACGTCATATATATATCCTCGATCCCCGCCTGTATGCGCTGATAACATGCTGAACTTGCCCCCGAAGAACCCCAGAGCAGAACCTCCCTCCCATCGACACCGCAGAACCATCACCATGGCCGAACCCCCGCAAAAAGGTACAGCACAGTACAGTACAGCCCTACCCATCCCCAGTCCAACCACTGCGATACTAACCCCAACCCCAAGTCTGGGCCTCCCTGATCACGAACCTAAACTACCTGCCGGGCCTCCTAACCCTCGCCCACTCCCTCCACCGCACCAACACCCCCTACCCCTTCATCGCCCTCTACACGACCTCCTTCCCCGACGAAGGCGTCGCCGCCCTCCGCGCCCGCGGCATCCCCTCCCGCGAGGTCCCCACCATCACCCCGTCCGGGACTTACACCCACGAGCACGACCCCCGCTTCGCGGAAGCCTGGAAGAAACTCATCGTGTTCGCGCTGGAAGACTACGCCCGCATCGTCCTGCTGGACAGCGACATGCTCGTGCGGCAGAACATGGACGAGCTGATGGAGATCCCCCTCGATGAGGACCGCATCCTGGCGGCCAGCCACGCCTGCGCCTGCAACCCGCTGAAGAAGCAGCATTATCCGAGGGACTGGTAGGCCACCCCGCCCAGAACCACACACTTCCCCCCCATCCCCAACTACCACTATACACAAAAGAAAAAGCTGACTTTGCGCAAAAAGGACCCCCGCAAACTGCGCCTACACAACCCAACACCCCACCCCGGACACGGCGCAAACCACCGGCCCCCCGGCGACCGCGGGCGTGGCGATGCTCAACAGCGGGCTGCTGGTCGTGCAGCCCCGACAGGCCGACTTCGTCGCGGTGCAGACGGCGCTCCAGGACTCGGAGCAGGTCAGACGGTACGCGCTGGCGGACCAGGAGCTGTTGTCGAATGTGTTCCGGGGCCGGTGGCGGGCGTTGCCCTATGTGTATAATGCGTTGAAGCCGATGCGCGGGGGGGGTGAGGGTGAGGGTACGCATGCGGGGATCTGGCGGGATGGGGCGGTGAAGAATGTGCACTATATTTTTGCGGTGAAACCGTGGCAGGTTGATCGGGAGGAGGGGGAGGGGGATGAGTTGCTTGGGTGGTGGTGGGCGGTGGATGAGGAACGGCGGAGGGAGGAGGTGGAGAGGGGGGTGGTGGATGGGTATTAGGTCTTTTCTTTGGGGATGGTGTTGTGACGGTAAAGTGTCTATACCCCGGGCATGTCCTAAATGCGGCATGGATATGACGACCCGCGAGAGTTCCGATGCGGTGCTAGTCAATGGAATGGCATCCCGTGTGATGGATAGCTGACGGTGTTTCTGAGTCTGGCGTAGCAAACTTGATAGCAGCTCGGTGGGAGGTCAGATAATGGTGAGGGCTGCGCTCCTCATTCCCGGTACTTTCCTTTCAGCCTGCTTGGACGGGATATTTTATCCATGTGTCCTTTGTGCTAACCGGCCCTGCTATACCTGGAAGGTGAATGGGGACTTTTTTGTTGAGAATCAACCGGTTTTCTTTGCAGGCAAGCAAGCAAAAAGCTTTTCACCCAAGTCGTTCCAAGTATCCTCTCATCCAAGAAGCCACGGCTTCCACGACCGGCCGGCGAAAGTCATGTTGAGAGCGCGCACACACAGTTCCTGGGACGCGAAGAGTGCGTGGGGCAAAGCCGTGCATCAGCATCCATCACAAGAGCCCACAAATTATCATTCCATACAACGGACAATCGAACAACGAAAACAAACCCCCCTCTATCACGGCCGAAGAACGGCGAAAAATCACATCTCGATTCGAAATGGAAAGACACCAGGAACACCCAAGGCATAAATACGAGAACCAACCCATCCTAAAAGTCATCCGCGCCCCAAAAATAGCACGCCAAACAAGCGAGACGCGATGGATCCGAAGTCCCGGAGATACGTAAAAGGCATCTGGACTAGCCCCGGCCGCCGGGCCACTGCATTAGTACTTACTTCTTCTAACTTAGCGAGGTTAGGCCACGCTAACCCCAAGGGAAGCAGGAGCCCTAGACTACTACTACTACTACTACTACCTAGTACTAGGTAGACTACGTACCGGCAAAATAATGACCCACTCTTGACTGAAAGGATTCCAGTGGCTTGGGTTATCTGAGACACCTTAATTCTGCCAGCCCAGTGCATTCCCCCTTTTTTTGCGATTGACTGGTTGAAAACCGAAAGAGACTCTGGTAGCGATGGTCGCGGGTTTACCCAATTACAACTACCGAACGGCTACAAGCGGGGAGAGGGCCTTTTAGGTACTAGACTAGGTAATGTGGTCCCCTCCTCAAATTTGAGAAGCGGGAAAACCGGCATGGGTGGCAACTGGCAACTGGCACCACCGCCAAAGAAAAAAAAAAAAAAAAAAAAAAAAAAAACAATAAGAAAATTCCAGGTTTCGGTTTCTCTCCCCGCGCGCACCCAGCTCCCCGGTCCGCGGGGGGTGAAACATGCCCGCTAGTCCCTGCGTTGGAGACAAGAACACATCATCCAAAAATCCATGATAATGCTACAATATACAATAGAATTAGAAATGATCATAGGTAAATTAGAACAGCCTACGACTCGTCCCGCGCCGTCACCACAGAGAACTCGACCTGCTTCTGAATCCCACCCTCCACGACGACCCCCCCCTCCTCATCCCGGCGGCGGTCGGACCCCGACGGAGGCCGATGGAGATCCTTCAGGATCTGCTCGATGCTGTCGGCGTCGTCGCGCTGGCCCGACGCCTGCCGCTCGTAGTAGTGGCCGCCGGGGGCCGACTCCTTGCCCTTGGAGTAGGGGCCGGACAGCTCGTAGGAGCGCGACCGCGCCGCGGACGAGAGCTTCTGCACCGAGGAGATCAGCAGGGGCCGCACGCAGGGCACCGAGCTCGTGATGATGATGATCAGGCTCTCCGCGAACCCCCAGCGGATCAGCTCCACCCCGCCCGAGGCCCCGATGTTGGTCACGCTGGGGACGTCCTTCAGCTTGGTGGTTTTGATGATCGAGGCGATCATTGCCCTAGATTGGTGTTAGTTTGGGGGAATTGATTGTACGTGTAGGCGGAAAGCTAAGGTCTCGGGGTAGGGTAGGGACCACATACACCAGACCCAGACTCAACAGCACGATCAGACTGATCTTGATCCGGAGGCGGAGGTTCAGGTTCCAGAAGACGATGGTCGGGAAGACGGCGAGGAAGAGGTCGGTCGCGGTGTTGACGGCTGTATCCATCGCCATGCCTTGTTAGTCCGGTTGACTCGAATCGAAGAAGCGAGAGCTCGAAAGGGTTTCGTGGGCAGAACTCACACGACGAAAAGTAGGAGAACCGCACCACCGCCACCGTGTTGCCGCAGGTGGTCTTGATGTTCGCATTCCACAGGATCCGATCGTCCCGGCAGATGCTCATGGGCAGCACCGCGGACACGATATTGGCCGCCAGCTGCAGCAGCATCGCCACCCACAGCGCGAGCTGGTACTTCTTGTTGCCGCCCAGGATCCCCAGCAGATAGATCACGAAGGAGCAGCGCGCGATGCCCGTGCTGATCGTCACCAGCAGCACCTCCAGCGCGATGTACTTGAGGATGTGCTCCACATTCTTGGTGGGAAGCAGTGTGAGGTCGGAGCCGAAGCCTTCGCGCACGGAGAGCGTCAGGAGGACCGTTGAGGACAGGGCCAACGCCTAAATGGAGACATTAAAACGTTAGCGACTCATACTCAAAAGCTGTCCGAGTGAAATGCCGAGGCAAGGGGCTGTCGTACCCAAGAGATGAACATCAACGCATCGTCGACATACAGCTGGCGGATCTTGATTTTCGCAACAACGCGAAGGATGAGGATCACCGTCGCGATACCGACGGCCACCCATATACCCTTTTCCAGGGCAGAGCCGTCGGGATTGTGCATCGTGAGAAACGGCAAGAGATGGGGGGGGGGGGGGGGGGACTGTAGCAATAGCGGCGACGATCGCCTCGAGCAAAGAAAACGGGGATCGCCGTTTTAGTTATATTTATTCCTGATGGCGCTTGCAGGGATGGGTTTTAAACTTTAGGCACGGATTCTGCACACATGGTTCGAGAATCGAGACTGGGTTCTGTTTCTTAGTTGGCCGGCTCCTGTCGGCTACTCTGAGAAATTGCTCGGGTGGGGACCTCATTATCTAGACCAAGCCACTAGACTAGACCAAATATCAGAGACACCAGTCACACTCGCCACGAGGTAGTTCTGCAGAAGCAAGTTGCCGAGTAACCTATTCGATGACTGCAAGAGATATGCTCCACGCCATCTCGCTTGCGGTTCGATCCCCGCTTCCACTGCATGAAGGCGACCCGACCCAGCTGGAAAATTGCTTCTGGTCCAAGCTCATCCAAGGAGTGCGCTCCGTCCTGGATCCGGGATTAAAGTTCAATGACGCGGTGGGGAACCCAAGGATGTCAAAGTTTGGGTGACAAATGGATTCACCTGTGCGCTCTCACCACTGCACCGTTCCAAACTTTCACTCAGGACGAGCACTGAAAATTCAGCAGCAGCCAGCGCCCCCCGTGGGCGTCCCGGGGGTTTGGCGGGAGGTACCCGCTGCCCTCCAGCCCTAATCGCCAGATTGGCCAATGCACAGGGATCCGGGAAGCAGGAACAGGTCAAGGATGCTTCCAGCACTGCGCTGAGTGGTACGATTCGATTGATTAACCTTCGTACCTGGTTCTGCTTTTCCATGGATTTGGTGGCCAATTTCCGGGCGTGAACCTTGAGACGGAGGTGGGAGAGACAACCGCACAATGCGATAACACCGGTCGGCAGCGCGGCCACGGCTAGTCAAGGAAAGGTGGCCAGCAACACAAATGCGACTCTCAGAGAGATGCATCGGATTTCCTCCGCAATGACTTTGGTCCGCGGAGACCCAAATCTCACCCAGTGGGTGAGCCCGCGTCTTCCAATTGACTCCAATTCAGCCAGCACCCTGAGTCAGTTCGAGTCAGTTCAGAGTTCGCATGATCCCGCATCCCGGAACACTCACGGAAGTCTGGTTCCGGGTCGTGCACCGAGCACGAGTCAAGAGAAAGAACCGACGCCACAAGAGTGCAGCCCTAAACATGAGGTTCTCTGTCTCGGCTGCTTTCACCACAGAACAGAGATAAGCATTATGCTTGGAGAGCTTGACCTTTGGGGAGCGTTCGGTGGCTGAGTAATCTTTCCTTCCTTCCTTGTGAGATGTACATACATCGAAACCTCACTATTATCGACCTTGATAACCAACCTACCTACACCTTCAATGCTTTCGCAATTGGCTCCGAGCCCGTGCAAATTCTAGGCTCTGTGGTTCCCCTGTTTTCATAGCGGTCTTATTGCATTTCTCGGTGAGATCGCTGCTAGTTTTCGAGCCGTCGACTTTAGGGGCGGGTCCATCACGGTCGAACGCTCTATTCTGGGAATAACAGGGTCATGGTCGTGCTAGATCGGAAACTCTAAAATCAACACTATTGCTCTGGAAACACACTACTTCGCATATATGTAGATAACAGATACGTAGTGTGTGGCAAATTGCACGCCTCTTTGCCATGAACAAGATGCATACTGCCTCGTTTTTACGCGTTTGTCGTCGTGCGATAGTACCTACCTTACATACTTCATATCTTGCTCCATGCAGTCGTTCGATGCGATCATGTATCTTTCATAGTTCGAGACTCATTTCTTGCTGGTACGTACACCCCTCTGGCCATGAACCGGCTCGCACGCCGCTGGTCTTACTTATCTTACTTCCTATTACTCATAGGGACCTCTCAGGACGTAAACATGGAGCTGATCAGTTGATATGAGATCTGGCAATTCTATTATACCTTATAAGTGGTATCTGCACAAGGGCTTCATATCTTGTCTATACAAGCAGCCTTCGAGGTGAGCTCAAAGCGGTCATAAAAAGCCGTCCCTGGCCCACATTTAACTGTATACAATCCATGTATGTATTACCCATGTACATGAAAGTGAGTCCTAGTCTTGCCTTGCTTCTGGAAAATTGTTTACCCTGGTTAAGGTTATTTTATTCTTCTAGTCTAAACTAGCCATGCTTTGTTTGTATATTTTGGTTATGATAAAAACCAGCGGTTAAACTCCGTCGCCATGTTTCGTGTCGTTGAGCTCAGCATGCTCAGCATCTCGAGCCAATGTCCATAGGCCATGGCCAACGCTTAGCAGTGAGCGCCCCACATGATTTAGAGGAAATCAACAGTGGCAATAGGATCTGAGTCGGGGGACCGGATAACGAGCACCCGGTGCCCGCCACTTCCATCAGACGAACCAGAATCACAGTCGGGGGGTCATCGCAGCCATCGTCACTGCGATTGGTGTCGTTGTCATCAACCATGTTGTACCCACCGCGGCCTCCAGCCTCGACATCGGCACAGTCACCGCCATCCTCGGTGGCATTAGCGGTGGTGGTGCCGTTCCCGAACATATTGTACCCGCCGCGTCCATCAGGCGAAACTAAGTCACAGTCAGGGCGGCCATCACAGCCACTGTCAGCGTCAGTGGAATTGGCATTATCGCCACCAGCCATGTTATACCCACCGCAGCCGCCGGCCTCAAGGTCGGCACAGTCACTGCCCTCGCAGTCACAGGCACCGGGAGTCGCCGCCGCCGTGTGACCCTCGGGGCTGTTGGAGGCAGCAGCAGGCTCGGCACCCGGATCGACAGGCTCGATCTCACCCGCACCAACCTGGGAGGACACGTCAGCGGTGTTGTCCTCGGGGACCGGGGCGGCGTTGAGGACCATACCGGGTAGGCAGGCCGCAGCCAGGGCCAATTTGTTGATGTGCTTCATCTTTGCTCGTAAAGTTCTGGCAGTTGAATCCGATGACGGTGAGAAGAGAGGTCAGTACGGCTTGGGGGGTTGATGATGGTATTGGGGATCGCAACATGACTTAAACGGTTATTATATACTGTGGCATCGGAAGGTTTTCTTGCTAACCACAAAGAACTGTTGTGGAGGATATCAGTCTGGCTGAATGATCAGCAACAAGGCTGAAATCTACAATCTGACGGATCCCGATATAGGAGCGTGCATAACAAACGTCATTGTGAAATGGTCATTTTCTGACCCTGGGAGAACTGCTGTGGTGGGGAAATGCTGCCCACGGAAAGGCTCGGGAAGCAAACGGGAGAACAAGTCCGGAGAGTCCTTTGTCCCAGGGGTGGGTAATCTAATCTCAGCATCATTTGTTTATGGTCGTTCTGAGGATAATATTTTGAAGAAGATAACCAAGTGCAAAGGATGTGCACCATTGATGCTAGTTTATTGATTGCTTACTGCACTATATGGGTTGCAAATACACAACTAAAATGGCAAAAAGAAATGACAAGAGTGGGATTCGAACCCACGCCATCAAACGATGATCAGGAAGCTTGTAGAAGCTGTTTGCTAAGGTAACCTTAACCTGACGCCTTAGACCAACTCGGCCATCTTGCCTTGATGTAAGAATGGGTCAAGGTAATGTTTTATGAGTCACTGTGATGTCTCCTGCTCAGCACAAGCACCATCGTAGCCCTAACAGCCTGCCTGGCGATGCCAGTACTGAGTTTAACGCGAGCAATTGTCTTGCGGATTAGGATGCTAGAGCAGTTTACCTGATCAATAATCTTTAATATTCCTGTATCCTTAGGCCGGCGGTTTCAGAAAGCGATAAATTATTTAAGTAAATAATGGTTGACTCATGCCGGAAGTATATTTTGTTCTTCTCTGCAATCACAAACTCAAGGCACAAACCACTCGTCTTTCCTATCTGTTGTTGAATCATCCTTCATGTTCTCTGTCCCCTGTCACATGTTATCTCCTACATATTCCGGTGGTCACATATCGAAGAACTCCTGCAGTGTCATGCCAATGTGCAATACGCTTGTGATGCAAGGTGTCGGCATGACTGAGGAATTCGGCCACGTGATGCAACGCGGTTACCAGACTGCTTCACATGTTGATATCTCAGATAGTTCCACCCACCAAGAAAATCAAGGATACGTTCCAGCACCTTACCTCTGAGGCTTCAAAGTCGTTGACACAAGGCTTCATCCCGGACACCGATCATACCATGTGCTACTACACAGATGGCAACCTAACCATAAATTTTCAATTCCCAGCTTTTGGCTGAGTGGTAATTGACGACATCAATGTGCTAAAGCCCTGTCCATGGATCAGGAAAGCAAATGTCATGGTTAGCCACCATGACCAGATCACCAGGGACGCAAACAGAGAACAAGGGCCACGATTGGAAGTACGTCAGCCAATGAACACAGTAAACATGCAACAAAGAAATGACCACCCGGAGACCTGCTATAATAGATGGATGTGCTTCAAACACAGCCAGAGCAACAACAACTGTAGCGTTGACTCTCGAATCCCACACCCATCCTTCAAGGCTTCAGCCAGCCAGCCACCCAACCCCATCGAATCCCAACCAACAATAAAGCAGCCCCAAACTCCCACCCCTCCTCTAACCCACCCCCTCCCCACCATCATGCCCATCACACCCCACAAACCAAAAACTCAAACTGTTCTCCACCTGATCCGCATACACAAAACTATGCTCGGGCCCACTATCCGAATTGACATGCAACCCATTGTACCCGGTGGCGCTCTCCACCACCCGCAGGCGGAGCCAGTCGCCGTGCGCGACCGCCGACGCCGTGAAGCGCGCCCGCTTGCCCTGCCCGTCGTGCGCATCAGGCCACACCTGGCTGGAGAGGCCCTCGAACACGTTGAGGAAGCGCGGCTGCCACTGTGTCTTGTGCGAGCCGCGCAGGTCGCGCAGGTAGAAGGTGCCATGGTTCTCCACGGGGCCGTCATCGTCGTCGCAGTGCTCGGTGCGGCACACCTGCAGGCGCCGCGGCTTGTGGCCTTGCTTGAAGGCTAGCCATTGGAAGGGGGCCGCGGAGAGGCCCCAGGTGCTGTCGACTAGGGGGCCGAAGTCCGGGTGGATGAGGTGGTAGCATTGGCCGTAGGAGATGTCGAGCCAGTGGGGGTGGTTTTGGGGTTGGTGGTGTGGGTCGGGACAGGGGGTGGTTAGCACTTCATGAGGGTTCTTGAGGTTGTCTAGGGGTTGCATGAGCTGTTGGGGTGGGTTGGGGTGGTTGGGGAGGGTGTTGGCTGTGCTTGCGGTGAGGATGAGGATGGCGACGAGGAGTTTGGAGGTCATTTTGGTGTCTTTGGAAGGTGGATAATTATGTTCCTATTCTTGGGACTTGGTGAATTGTTTGGAGATGATGAGCGTGTCTGGGCGCGGTGGAGCAGGGATTGTCCTTGACGAGGCGCATTGGGGTCTTAGAGAGGTGGCTTTCTTCCCTCTATATGTTCGAGCGACTTGCTCCGACAGCCAGTTTATTTTAGACTCATTGACTTGCAGTGAGGTCAACTCTTTAAGTTTCTTCTTGTTTGTGTGTCCCGAGCTGTCATTCTCTGGAACAATGCTTACTGAGCGAAAACGGCATGCTGCTCTGAAGCTTATGCCAATTGAGACTCACTGATGAGTACCGGAAAAGCGACATCCTTTATTACAGAGGTCACAGCGGTGGATGATTTCACGACTACCATCAGCTCAGGCTGTTTTCGTCAAGCCCCCTTCAGCAGTGACAGCGGCAATCAACTGACGGCGGCGAGGGGATCTTGAGATATGTTAGAAAGCGCGAATCAGACCTACTTCCTTGATTTTTCCGGCACATGTTTCCCTACAGCTTGACTTCCTCGATCGAATCAAGAAAACCAGGCTCTGGGTATGCCCTTTTAGCATTGGAGGACCGAGGATCGGTTGACGGATCAGGGCCATATGTTGCTCGTGGCGGGGACGGAGACTACCGCCAATGCCCTGACGCATATTGCATTCCACCTGTTGGATAATCGGGAGCTTTTGGGGCGGTTGAGGGAGGAGCTTAAGGGGGCGATGCCGCGGCTGGAGGATACGCTGGCGTGGAGTCAGTTGGAGAAGTTGCCATTTTTGGTGGGTGGGTTGTCTTTCTTCCTTTTTTTTTTGTGTCCCCGGGGGTGGGGGGAAGGGGGCCTATTGCGTGAGAAAGAGGGGATATGGGTAAGGCTAACAGGACGCAGAACGGGGTGGTGCAGGAAGGGCTTCGATTGACTCTGGGCACTGCCTCCAGACTCCCTCGCATTGCGCCGCAGGAAAATCTCCACTTCGAGGACTGGGTCATCCCTGCTGGGGTGGGTGTCATCCTCATCTCTCTAACCTGTTCCTCCCTGCATGTGAACCAGAAGGCAGGTTCCCGAAGCTGACACCGTATAGACCCCGGTGAGCACCGCCACGTACTTCATGCGGCCATGGTGGCTTATTCGGCTACGGAGACCTCATAAATTCATAACCCAATAGCGCAACATCCCTGGGCAGTCAATTCCAAGGCTACCTACTCTAGTCACTGCTGCGCGGTGAACGATTACCAACATTTTCTACGGGAGTCAGCAATGTAAGTCTCTGGATGATCGGGTCACTGATCGTATCCCGTGGCCTCTCTCAATCTGAAACTTCAATCAATAATCATAATCGGACATACTGGTAATAGTATTCGTAGATATAAGTCATTGCTCTTATCAAGTCAAGCTTATACACAGAGTTACACTGTAGCTTTCCATCTGTCAAAATCATACGGGAATCCCTTGGCCTCTACGACCTTCCTGGCAGTCTTCCCCGATGCCGCGGGGATATCTGCATCCGCCCCAGCCTCCATTAAGGAATCCAGAACCACCGGCCGGATCTGTTGGTCGGCGTGCTTTCGGTCTGGATTATAACGATGACACTCCAGGTAAAAGTACAGCGGGGTGCGGCCTCTGTTGTCCTGCGCGTTGATATCCTTAGTGGCACCCTGCGTCAACAGAAATCTTACATCACGTAGTTCCCAGTCCGGTCTGCGCATGGCGAGGTGAAGCTCTGTCTGGCCCTGGGAATCCGGTCGCAACCGCACGCCTGCCTCCATTATGGCGCAGAACCGCTTCCCATTAAAGAATGGAATATAGTGGAGGATGCTTTTCCCATGGGCATCCAGACTACTGAGATCGGCACCTTTGTCCTTGAAGAAGTAAAAGAGGCGCATGCTAAGCGCCTCGACTGCGGGGTCGTCGGCCGCGCCCCAGCAGCGGGCAAGGTGGAACGCCGTGTTTCCATCCTGTGTGCGGTAGTTCGCCAGATCGGGTATGGTGGGCGAGCTGCTGCTGCACGGCCATAGAAGTTCAATCACCGCGAAGTGACGTTGCTGGCACGCTTGGTGGACGGGGAGCCATCCTTGCCCGTTCAGCTGAAGAGGGTCTGCTCCGTGGTCCAGCAGGAACTGGACCGTCTCTGGGCGGCCGTTCTTCGCGGCGGCATGCAGCAGGGACCCGCCTGTCCAGAGGTGCGTCTCTGGGAGTTCCTCGTTGACATCCAGCACGGCTGCTTGATGCTCATAGAAGAAATGGATCAGATCGGGGTTTCCGTTCTCTACCGCCAGGGCGAAGAGGCTGGGCTCTCCGTCTCTCCCGGCGGACGAGGGCTCAGGGAGCTCCAGGCCGTGGTCAAGGAGCATCCGAAGCATCTCCATGCCCATGGAGGTCTCCACGACCGCTTCGATGATCGGTCCGGGCTCGACCCTCTCGGATCGATAGATGGACCGGGGGAGTTGTGATGGCGGATTCGGGCGAGCCCCGTGGGCGAGCAAGAGCCGGACGGTCTCGAGTCCCCTTTGCCACGATTCCGAGGCCAGGGGCATCAATATCGAAAGGTCGGCGTTGTAGTCCTCCTTGGCAGCAGCCTCCGCCAGAGCCCGGTCAAGGATCGCTTGTGGCACCCCCGGTGCAGGGTAGTGACGGAGAAGGATGGCCAGAGTTTTGGGCTGGCGATACAGCGCGGCTACACTCAAGGCCAGGGGCCATTCGTGATCCGCGATGGTGCCCGGCGGCAGCCGATCAATCAAGCGCTGCACCGCGACGTCCGAGCCCCAGACTGCGGCAGCCAGAAACGGCGTATGTGGCCCTCTATCCCCGCCTGTCGCGAAAACGCCGCGCACCGACGACCCATCTGCCGCAGAGTCGTCCACGGTCGCATTGGCCCCGGCGTCGAGGAGAATATCCACCGCTTCGGCGGAATTCCCTGCGGCTGCAAAGTGCAGGGGCGTAAGGCAGATTTCACCATATGCGTTGGGACCCTTTTGATTGACATCAAATCCACGGGCAATCAGGTAACGGAGCAAGTCGAGTTGGTTGTACCTGAGAGCCTCATGGAGCGCCGTGTGACCATACTTGGGGAGATCCGTTGCCTCTGGGGTATCGAGAAGGGTCTCCACGGCGGTGAAGTTGCCGACACGAGTCCATCCCATCAGCTGACTGTTGAGATCTGCATTAGGAGTGTGTGGAATTCTTGGATAACAGGCCATGGTGGCTGTGGAAGGAAACTGCGGATCAACGTGAAAGGGGAACGGAGGGATGCTGTTGCATTTAAGTAGTCCCCTGTATCTATCAGCCTGGCTAGCCCTATCAGGACCCCGACGGCGACTGTCCGACGGCGCGAGAGTAAGCAGCAGAGGATGTTTCCTTTTCTTATGGGTCTGTGTCACGGAGCAAGGGCTCTTAGGTCTTGCCGCATGGCTGAAAAGGTGCTAAGCCTGTATTATCAGGAGCCTCAGGGGCTCTAATATGGCTAATATGGCGCCCTGTTTGATCCGGAGGGTCCGGACATCGGAGATAGGAAGAGTCGGTTCTACTCGAGCACTGTCGAGCACTGTCGAGCACTGTCGAGCACTGTACAGTACGTAATCGAAATTATGATGGAGACTGCGTAGTCGACTCGTCCAAGGGTCTAGGGTCTTGGCTGGAGCTTAGCCCCGTTGCCCTAGATCGAAATAGTATGTGAGACCCACGAGGAGGAGGGCTTGTTGATCCACTCGCACGCTGCGATTTCTTTTTCTGTTAACTCACCTTCTGCCCGACAGTCATCAGCGAGCAGTATCAAGCTCTTCATCTTGCTTACAACAGATACTGTACGTGTCAGCATCGATTCGTAGGTTCGTGAGGAGAAACGAGCCTCACCATGTACTGTACTGTACCTACCTTCTTTAGATTGTTCCTTCAAAATGCAAGACTTCCTGAGGTTTAAAGATAATTCTATACTTCAAGCCAGGTTGCCAGAATTCCCCAGGTCCTCCGACAACTCACTATTTCGACCATCCCCTAGTGGCTATAGTATTTTAGAACGAATGATCGAACGCTCCAACGGGGGTATTGGTTGAGTAAAAACAACAACAGCAACAACATGAAAATCCCCCTCATTTCGTCTTAGCACGAAGAGCTTTCGGTGCCTCCTGACTATCACCAAAGCGGGCAGCCATATCCGTCAAGTCAAGGTTCAAAGCGCCCCGACACGTTAGACACCAGCAGGAAGTCAGTCCATGGGGAAAGCACAGTCCCAAACCGTGCCACCGATTCAAATTGCCGAATGTCATCCTCGTCCAGGGAGACAGACCTTCAGGGCCTTCGGTAATCGACTCCAGATCTTCCCACCCTTGCGGCATCCGATGCTGGGAAAGGTATACAGGTTCTTGCATCGGATGCATGCCAGCGCAACTCCAATGATGGTGGTATATGGTGTTTCATGCTGATCTTAGCCGCTCGATGGGGCTCGGACACGGCCACGGCCACGGCCACTTTCGTGGGTGTCGCGGGGGGGACATCCTGCGGCGCATACTGTATTCCTGATTCCCGATCCTGAGCGGCGGGGTTCTTCTAGAATAGCCACTTCCGAGAGTTGCTGGAGGATACAGGATACCAGGTCCATTTCTTCATTCTGTACCATGGGTATAATGCCTCAGACCGGAGAGACGGACCAACGGTCCGTCCCCGGTAGATTGGCGATTGGTTGATTCTCTTCCTTAGCTGAGTCGTTTTCCCTCCCCCGGGAGGAAAGCCCTTGCGTTCTTGCTTTTTGCTGCTATGGAAAATATTCAACTTACACTGACGGGTTGGCCTTGCTGACAACTGAACCCAAGCCGGAGTGTCGCTTACACCCGGGTACATACAAAGCCTTGCCGGCGACAATAAGGTGATTGAGCATTGCGTGGCTTCTTCATTGAGTCACGCGACCAATGCAGATACAGCTAAATTCATCAGTTCATGATGTCAACAAGACCCTGAGGCGTTTCCTTTCTTACTTCCGCCCCCCCCCCCCCCCCAGGCATGTAAAGGCGAATGCCATTCTGGCACATTCAGATAGATTATCGGATGTTGCGATGGTGAAGCGGGATGTATAGCATGTAGTCTGGTGCACAGACAGAAGCAATGGTTTGTCGGTAGGTCGACACATGAGGAATTAAAGCCGCCCTAATGGCCATACTTGATTCTCAAATGGTGACTTGTTTGCCCTTGAAATGATACTGCTGGTGATGTCACAGGTGCGTTTTCATAGCAAGCAGTGTAAGATACTAGTCATTCATAATATCCATTCCTTGATCTCGATTTGAACCCCTCATACTACACTTAGAGATTAAGACTATTTACACTCCACGCAGCTGGTAGCACTTCATCCCCCCGGATTTAAACGGTATAGCTCAGATCAATCATTTCCAAGGCTGGCGGGTGGGCATCACCAAATGGTGGTTCGTGAACGGCCCACCGACATTAACATATCCCCCGGTCCAAGGAGTGCAGACATTGTTGGTGTTGACCCAGAGAGCCTTGAGATCCGACCGTTCCTGCTGCTCCTTCAGAAGCTGGATGATGTTCTGAGTGTGGCAGCTCCAGTTGTAGTTGGGGGTCGATTGACCCGTGACCCCGGTATGGCAGTAAAGCATCCACTCGTGCTTGTAGCCCTTGGAGTCCACGGTGATGAAAGTCTTGCCGCCGAACTTCGGGCAGATGGTGCTGAAGTTCTCGCGCGCGATCTCCTCGAGCAGGGCTTCGTTGGCCGGCGACGTGGTCGACGTGCCGGTGTCACCACCACTGCCTTCAAGCTTCTTTAGCTTCTCGTTGGCTTCGTCGAGCGCCTTCTGGAGGCGGTCCTTCTCTGCGTCGCAGGCCGACGTCAGAGCCGCCTTGTCCGCATCGCACTGCTTCTTCGCATCTTCGGTGATGGCAGTCTTTTCCGCATCGCACTGCTTCTTCGCATATTCGGTGATGGCAGTCTTATCCTTCTCACACTGGGCCTCGCCCTGCTTCTTAAGGTCGTCGCAGGAGCCTCCGAGGTCGGTCTTTTCCTTCTCGCATTTCGCGACCTGCTCCTGCACAGCAGCCGCGGTCTGGTCCCGACATTTGGTGTTCATCTGCTCCTCCAGCTTCGCTTTATCCGCATTGCATTGCTCCGTAACGGAAGCGACCTGCTTAGCACAATCTGCCTTGCACTGCTCGCCGATGTGGGTCTTGTCCGCCTCGCATCGCTCCGCGGCCTCCTTCTCGCACTGCGTCTTCGCCTCCTCGGCGGCCTTGTCGCAGCCACCCTCCGGCTCCGTGGGCTCCTCCCCAGCGACCAGCTTGCCCGTCTTCTCGAGCAAGAGGATCCCCTTCAACGGTCTGACCGAGTAAGCGCCAGAAGTGATGAAGTAACACTGCCCCTTGGACATCCAGGCGGCCGCGGGACATTGGGCGCCAGCGGCCGCGCAGAGCTGCGCACACTCGCGCGCGCTGGCGGCGGTCACGGGTTTGGTCGCGTAGGGCGTCGCCCACTGTCCGCACGTGTAGGTGAACTCGACGCCGTCGACGGTTCCGCGGCCAGACGCACTGCTTCCACAGCACGCATCGAAGTTAGTATGGGGGGCTCCGCCGGTCATGCTGAGGCACTGGTTCGCGCCTGCACTGGCGGAACCGAGGGGAGCCTGCGTCGCCCATGCCGCGCTCCCCGCTGAGAGCACGGTGAGAAGGCGGGAGAGATTTCCCATCGTGAAGTGATGTGTAGTTGGGATGTCTAACAATCGAACGATAGAAAGGCGGGGAGCGAGAATGGAAGGAGGAAGGGAGGAAGGTGTATCAGCAACTATGTGCTAAGGCCCTGGCGTAAGTCTGCAGCGACGCCCAAAGAAAGAAAGAGCAAATGGAAACGTTCGAGGAATGGGCTCTGGGTGGAGGGGCCTTTATAAGATGGGCGACCGCCGTCTGGGGACCAGGACACGCTGAGTAGTAAACCCCTCCCTTTTCCCGGCTAGTGGAGTTATCAGCCATGAGAATGGGGCCCGAGATGCTCCGTGTAGTTCTTGACGAAGGACGATCTGATCATCTTGCATGTGGGTGGATGCTAGTGTCGTGGCTCTTGTTGTTTTGTAGACGGTCACCGAACAGTAAGATACGAATCGATACTGCTCTTTATGCTGCGAATATGGTGGCTGGCTGTAATGCTCTAGTAAAACCACCCTCTCCTCGAGCAGCAATGGCCGTAGAGCGCGGAGAGCTTCCACTTTGCTTTGGTCACAGCTGAGAATAGATCCACTTGACCTCTCCGCTTCTGCTTCCATCTGCGGAGCTGCGAAAGGATGCAACTTTGTGGAAGGTCCCGGGAAAAGGCGGTGTTGCTGCAGAGACGCCTCTGATTGCCCCAAATCGGGCCCCTCGATCAAAGCTCTGCTCTGTCATTCAGCTGTCGAAGCTGTGAATGGTTCTCGGGAAGGTAGTGATCTGCAGATAGCGTCCGATAGCGTTCGATCGCGTAGATTGTCACACGCTAAAGTAGCCGATCAGTCCGTGGTGGAGCTGAAAAACAACAGATCCCTCCTCTCTCTTTCTCTCTCTCAGCCATGGCTTTGCGGTGGAAGAAATTGAGAGAGCGAGACGAAAGACAAACAATGGAGACATCGAGGATGCTGTCACATATTGTATCTTACTGTGCGCCGGCTCGGGAATTAGAGCGCGGGAGAGTCCCATGGATCCGTTTCACAAAGGCAGTTCGTTCATTTTCAGCTCGGAAATGCAGCTCCCCGGGTCTCCTCCAGTCACCAGTGTGAATGGCATTTTTCCGAGCAGATCGGCGCCGCCCAGCTCCGGAGATCCACTCGCTGTCTTGGGCACGGAGGCCTGAGATTGGACAAGTGCTTGGAAGCTAGGACACATAAGGGCATGGCCCGGGGCCAGGCGTGTGGTAACTCATCATCAAGTCATAGACAGTCTTCGACACGATGAATCCCACTTGAGCATGAATTAGAGCATGAAGCAGAGCTCTACATCGTACTCAAGATTTCGTCAGTGTATGGAAGGTGGAAGAGGAGAGGGAGTGGCAGAATTACGGAAACAGAATGGAACCGAGTTGCACGCGAGGGGCGGGCGGTCACCTTCAGTACACCGCCTTTGGTACTGCCCGTCTATCCACCATGACCGGGAAAGCAGGGTCTTCCGTAGCATCTTCTCTGCTCCACAGTTGATGCATGCATGCAGAGACCTGAAGGGAAGACATCACACTGGCATTACAATTGTCCCCGGGCAATATCATTGTATCACATTCCTATGATCGTCTCTTATCCAGAAATAATGCATTGCATCCAGCATCCCCAGATCGTCGAGGGTCCAAGCAGTAGCCTCCAATGTATTGTTGTTCAAAGAATACTTGTCTACTGACGGTCGACATAATCTGTCCAGCTTGTTCAGCTTGGGCACGACTCAAGCCCTCCGTGTCCATGGCCCGAGCCGGAGATGTCCCGAACGGGATCTGCGGGTTTTCCGACCGATGTGTCGATGTCCCCCGGTCCCTTGCGCTACAGGATCATATCAGAGTGGGAAGATTGAAACACAAGCCAAAGGGTCCAGTTATTCACATAATATATAGGTATGTAGGTAAGTCAATCGACTACTGACGACACATTTCACACTGTTCAGTCTCGCTCGCGGTATCTGGCATGCATGCAGCATGCAAACCCCAACTATGTACTTTTTCCAGCCCCAGGGAGAAAGCACTCACTCATCCCAGATGATGCTGCTCAACCCCTCGGCCGTGCCCACCGCACCGGGCTCCCCGACCTGCAACTCGGCAATCTTGTCGCCCAAGACGCCCGTGACGGGGTCACGAGCCACGATCGCGACGTTGGAGCTCGCCTGGTCGCCAATGGCCACCAGGTCGCCCGCCTTGTTGATGACAAACGTCCGGGGGACGGTGCCATACGCGGAACTCAAGCGCTCGAACTCAACGGTTGCATTCGCATGGCGGGTCAGCGTGGCAATGCTGTCGTAGGGCGCGAAGCCGTGGTCGGAGCGTACCGACACATACAGCCCATTCCCGGCCTTGCGGATCTCGGCCAGCGTCGCCCCGGTCGGGAGCGAGTCGTTAGTGGTCGGGTAGGGCACAAGGGCCTGGAGCTGGCGGAAGGAGAGGCAGCCGTCGGAGACGTAGGAGACGTCGAAGACCTTGAGGTGGCCGTCGAGTTCGTTGGCGGTGTAAAGGGTGGCGGCGCCTTGTTGTTGGGCCTGGTTGCGGTTGCGACGGGTGGTGCGGCGGGTGTTGCGGTTGTTGTTGGTGGTCAGGATGCTGTGGTGGTCGTCGGCGGACTCCCAGAAGAGACCGTGGCGGGGTCCGCTGCCCGTCGGGTAGCTCAGGTCAGTGCAGTGGGACTGCAGCTTGCCAGTGGCCTTGTCAATGGCGTAGACGCGGAGGAGGTCCGACCCCAAATCAGGGACGAGGACGAAGGAGCCGGTCGGGTCGAGGAAAACTTGGTGCGGGTGTGGGGAATCTTGCTGGGGGCGGCGTTTGGGGTTGTCATCGGAGAAGGTGTAGCGGAAAACCTGCAGGGGTTGCGAGTCTGGGGTGAGGGGAAGGGTAAAAGTGGAGAGAGCCGAGCCGCCGCTGTTGAGGGGGTGGGATGATTGTTAGTGGGGGTGCCTCGGTAAATACTAGGTAGGTAGGAGTAGGTAGGATAAGATGCGGTGGTGAGACATACTAGTGTGCAATGGCCAGGTATTGGGCACCATGTTCGCCGGTGTAAATGACGCTGTTCACACCACCTCCCGGAGCGGCGTCGGTGCTGGCGATCAGCTTCAGGGTACCGTCGGTCGACGCGGAGAGGGCGTTCAGGGAGCCATTGGTCGAGGCGTCACCCGTCTCGTCGTTGCAGTAAATGATGCGCGTGGCGGGGTCGAGGGTCAGCCAGCTGGGCATGGGGCCACAACCCTGGATCTCCGACGAGATGGCAAGGTCGCTGCCATTGCTGCTGTGCGTCAGCGAGAGGGAGTAGACCGTGCCGCTATAGTGAGTGGCATAGAGGTTGGTTGCCGACGCCAACGAGGCGGAAAGCGAGAACAGAATCGACCGCAGGGACATGATGGGTAAATGTCCGAATGTGAGTTTGCAAAAGAAACAGGTGGCTATCAGGCCCTTAATAGACCCTTAAATACTGTGCGAGCAGGGGATTTGAAGGAGGGGGCAAGATCGCGATTGGAATGGATCTGCATTCTGCAGGTGTGTTGGCCGGTGCCAGATCTGCAGGGTAACTGGTGGCTGGCATCTGCAGCCCTGTTCGCGGGATTGTTATCTTCTGCTTGACAAATCGTTATTAGAACGTGAGGATTCTGATGCTTTCAGCCTGCTTGGCATGTCTTAGAATGGGGATTCGCACGGTAAGCTTGATCACGATAGAAATGCATCACGAAGCTTATGTTTAGCTCATCCAAGGCATTCTTGGACCGCGCGGGTTTTCATGAGGTTGTGCTGCAACACCGCAGAGACATCGATGGCCATTGAAACCCAATATTTCAAAGCGGTGGAAAGCTCCTTAGAGCTGAAGTTGGTCGCAGAAACAGGCTCCTTTACCGGTGGTGGTTGTCCTACATGATGTCGAATCAGTGGTAACCCCCACGCTTTCCCTCCCGTGCCGAAGTATATATTTTAGCGCGCTTCCTGGTCTGCTGCAGAACAGCCGACCTACTCCGAAATAGCTCCGAACGGGATGTCCTAGCCCGAATGTTCTCACGGTGTAAAGTACTCAGTACCTTGATAGTGTGGGGGCTCGATGGAGCTTCTTATGGAGCTTCTTTACGAGGTGCTGCTTCTGTGCAGACCGGTGATGAGATGCAATGACGACGGCGGCTGATTTAACTTGATTCTCACCGTTCACCGCAGAGAGAAATCGATCGCAGATTTCGATGGGTTTTGATGAAACAAAATAAAATATGTCTGGAAGCCCTCCCATACATGAGTGGTATGAGATTGTGTTGATAGAATACAAATTGTTTGCCAGTGAGATGGAGTGTGGCAGCCGAACTGATGTACTGTACAGTAGTTAACGAGCTGGAAAGTTGAAACAACCAAGAATGCCAACTCTGACCGCTTCGAGACCAGCCGGCAGAACTGGCAGGGCTGCTTGCTCTGAGCGGTGAGTGAGCTGAGGGTGGGTCTTCCGATCAGTCCCAATCAGAGGCTAGAACCCAGCCCTAGCCTTACTCAGCCAGGTCACGTGGCGCACAACCCGCCCACATCGAATATTGAAACGACCACCAAAGTCTTTTCTCCCGATCAACGACAATCCGACAACTTGAGCCCCATCCATCCTCTTTCACGACACCCTCAAGGACCCCGGCACAATGGCTGTTCGCAACACTCAGGGTATGTTATCCCGGCGCATGCTCTCTTCGATTGACTCTCGATGCTAATGAAATGCAGTCGCTTCTTCCCGCTCCAAGAGCCGTAAGGCTCACTTCAGCGCTCCCGTATGAGTTTTTCCCCCAACGCCCTGTGGTCGACGACATGAAGACTTACCTAGCAAATTAGTCCTCCGAGCGCCGCGTGATCCTTAGCGCCAGCCTGAACAAGGAGCTCCGCGAGAAGTACGGTGTAAGTTAGCGACGAACCGATCTTCCACTTGCCTGGTCAAAATCTGCCATCCGCCCTCGAAGTGAACGGAGTCAATTTTGAACCCTGGGATCAACCAAACGAACTTCTACTGATCACCTCGACCCAACAGGTCCGCTCCATCCCCATCCGCAAGGGTGACGAGGTCCAGATTGTCCGTGGTTCCAACAAGGGCCGTGACGGCAAGATCACCTCCGTCTACCGTCTCAAGTGGTGCATCCACGTTGAGCGCGTCGTCCGCGAGAAGTCCAACGGCCAGAGCGTTCCTCTCCCCATCCACCCCTCCAACGTCGTCATCACCAAGCTCCACCTCGACAAGGACCGTGAGGAGATCCTTGCCCGCAAGGCCAAGGGCCGTGAGGCCGTCAAGTCCGCTTAAATGCGCGGTCCTCTGATGTGATGTTGTTGCTGGAAGAGCGTTTTGTGGGGTTCCGGGTGCATCCTATTTTTGCAAAATGGCAGGAGTTGATTTTTATCGATTAAAAACGACGCGGGATTCACGGAGGCCCTCCCCTTGCCTTCCCCGCTGATCCAGCCACTTATTCTCAAGGGGTATAGATGGACACGTCTACCCTGCGGAATCCTGGCGCAATCACGGACGAATGAAAAAAATGAAACATCCATTCTTGATCTATATTTTTTTCTTTCGCTGTGATTCACAATGGTGTGTATAGATGGGAGCGTTCTGCTCTCCATCTATCCGTCGTTCAAAATGGGGTCTGTAAGTTCTTTCGATTTGGTGATTGGGTCGATGAGTTGGGGTTGTGCGCGCAGTTGCGACTGGGTGTTGTCTGATGGACACATGCAAGGTCGGGCTGGGGCATTGCTGCATTTCGTTTCCCTGCGTCCCTGTCGCGAGGCTTTGGACCTCTCGTAGTGCTTTCCCTGCGCCTTCCTGGGCCGTCATCTCGTAACTAGTGGCATAGCTCTCAACACGGTAAGTCAATCGTAGCGAAAATCTGGACCTTCAACCGCAACGACAACACCTGGCACTCGAGATGGTATCCACGACGTAGTGATCACGACCAAGCTGCATCTCTGGAATCACCGCGATGCCAAGCAAACCCCTTCGAAAAATTTCTGGTCACGCTTATCTTATCGTCTCCGCATGGGGACCTGCGGCCGGCATCAAGCACATTGCTACTTCTAGCCGCACTTCTCACAAATGACATTCCAGAAGTCCTACTTTCCTCTCCGTACCATACCGTGTATGCTTGGTATCAAATGAGTCTGAAGTCTTTCTCAGATGGCCCTCAGGCTTGTGATAGCGTTGTCGTTCCAGCCAACCATAACTACGGATCAAGACGGAGTATACCGGCATTCGAGACAGCTCCCGTAGTAGAGGCTATCCACAATCCTGTTCATATCCAACACAACAAAGCACACACTTAAAGAATGCATCCTGCATCAAAGGTCTATCAGAGTCAGACGGCCCATGACACCAACCCATACAATGAAACATCACCTGGATGTGAATATCTCACGAAGAGCAAAGACCATGTAAATGAGCATTTCAGCTAATCCCTTGTTGACACACGACATGCAAGAGGCTTCTTTATCCGTGCTCCAGATCATGGCCTGGTCCCTAATCAGCACAATGGCCCACGTTGGATCCTTTACGAACATACCGGAACCCTCCTTTCCCACAATCTCAAGTTCGACCCATGCGTTCAATATAAATACACCCCTCCCACCGGTCCATCTCCTACAACCCAGACCTGACCCACAACTCAGATCACACCTAACCCAAAGAAACACTCACAGGACCCCCCAAAACTCAGCCAGAATGGTGCGCCTCAACTTGTCAGACATGATCCCCCTGAACTCGACGGTGGTGGCTCCACCCCCAGCACCCACCGCCGCCCCGGCACCAGCACCAGCGGCGCCGCAGACGCAGACGCCGGAGTACCGGGAGCAGCCGTTCATCTTCGTGTGCTCGCACCAGGAGCTGTACCTGGACAAGAAGTGGCGTCCGCTGTCCGAGGAGGTGATCCTCAAGAAGATCAACGACGCCTTCGAGGGCTCGGATCGCCCGTGGCTCAAGGCCATCCAGGTCCTGAGGGTCCGGCGCGTCCCGCCGCCCAAGGAGAAGACCTTCGACCCGCCCCGGCGCCTGCGTCTGGACGTGCAGACCTGGCGAGACCGGGCTGACCTGTACCAGAAAGACGCGCACCAGCGCGACTGGCTGCGTCTGCTCGAACAGCAGCAGCCGCATGGGGCGAATATTGAGGCGACGGAGCTTCGTCCGCGGCCGCTGAGGGCGAAAAAGTCGGGGAAGAGGGGTGGGAGGACGGGTGAGAAGAAGGGTGAGCCGAAGGGTGAGCCGAAGGGTGAGCAGAGTTCTCAGCAGGGTCCTCAGTAGAGTCCTCAGCAGAAGCCTCAGCAGAAGGCTGAGCAGACGCCTCAGCAGAAACCTCAGCAGAAGCCTCAGCAGAAGCCTCAGCAGAAGCCTCAGCAGAAGCCTCAGCAGAGTCCCCAGCAGAAGCCTCAGCAGCAGACCCAGCACAAGCCTCAGCAGAAGACAGAGCCGAAGGCTGAGAAGAAATAGGTACAATACCTATGACTCTAGGCAAGGCTGGTGAAATACTGTAGGTCTCGTGCAAAAATCATAATTACATTATCAAATCCATTACGTGCACATAATACTTTTTCTGATTATTTCAATTTGCTATGTCTATACCTATTCCACTACCGATATACTGAATTGGTCCCAGTACCAATCCTAACCATCCTTCCACCCCAGCAGCTTAAACCAATTCCACCCCCAGCCCGTCTTCTCTGTACCATCCTTCCCTTCCCCCTCCCCAAGCACCCCAACACCGCCCCGCACCAAAGCAATATCATTCCCATGCTCATCCTCCCCCGCAAAGAACCTCACGACCACCCCCGCCGCCCCCACGGCATCACTCCCCTCCTCATCCGCCCCAATCGCCTGCACCCACCTCTCCACATCCTCAGCCTTCCACCCCTCCCTCCTCCCAAACTCCACACACGTCTCGCGGTTCACCTCGGCATCGAACTCAAAATGCCCCTGATAGGTCAGCACCCTGCCCGGGCGATAAAGGCCCTGCACCGCACACTCCGCACTGGCCCCGACCACGCACCACCCCGCCGGCAAGGGCCGACAGACCCGGACGTGGTCGCCGTGGATCATCTGGATGTTCCACCTCCACCTCCACCTCCACCGCCCGTCCGCGTCCTCTGCATCCTGCCCATCCGGCGGACCATCCCGGCTGGGCGGAAACGCCCCCGGAAACGCCCCCGTGAACTCCGGGGTGAGGACGACGCTCTTCAACCCGACCTCCTTCCCATGCGGCGCAGGCTCCACGCGCACGTAGGGCTGCTGGCCCGCGGCTCCCGGCAGCTCCAGCAGCGCCCGGGCGAGGATCTGGTGTCCGAAACAGCTGCCGAAGAGCCGGACACCCTGGTACTGAGAGTGGACGGTCTGGAGGAAGGTGGTGAGGGCCGCGATCCAGGGTTTGGTGGGGTCGTAGGCCGCGGCGGCGGAGCCGGTGATTAGGATGGCGGTGATGGGGATCGAGAGGGGGTTGAGGGCTGTGTCTTCGGCTGCATGGATGGAGGTGATTGTGGTGCTGGGTGTCGCTGAGGAGTGCTGGGATAGACTGGCGTAGGCGGGGAGGTGGCCGCCCACCACGTCGAAGGCTGTGGTGTGGAGCTCGTAGGCCGGGTTGATGGTGGCGGCGGCGGCGCGGAGGAGGTGTCGGAACTGCGTGCTGTAGAGGCCGCGGTGGGCGTAGATGGTGGGGACGGGGAGGTCGGTGTCCAGGAGGGCGATGTGGATGTGTTGTTTCGGGGGCATTGTTGTATTTTGTGGTATGAGATCTGGGTGGGATGTGGGAGGAGGAG